AGCACCCCCTCTATTTTTATTCTAGATTCACCACTCGACGAAACAATAAAAGGGAAGAAACCATCTCAACACAGATTAATTGTTAATTAATAATAAACATAACATATATGCAGTAAGCCATATATCCATTTTTAAGAGTAAGTTGCATTTTAGACCACATATTCTTACCACTCTTGAAGTGTTTTTTTTTTCACTTTGAACTAGATATTTTTGCCAAATGTTATTATTTTGGACCGGGTGGCCCACATGTCAATGATACTAACCACCTCTATTATCAATGTGTTACTTACATGTGGGCCACCGGTCCAAAGTGTAACATTTGGCAATAATACCTAGTCAAAGTGAAAAAAAATTGTAAGGTGGCCACAATGAAACTTTGGTAAAAATATATATAATCTACTTATTTTCTATAGATAATGAATTGAAACCCGGCCTCTTCATCAAAGTAGATGTACACAACCAATTAAGCCATCCATATCATTCTAATTGTGCAGATCATATGGTGTGGTTATAGACTCAAGGATGACAGTGAATACAAATATATATCAACGGCTGGGGTCAACATAAAGCTTGTAGGTACGTACGTAGAATGCAAATATATATAGGGTATGGGACGGAGAACTATACACAGTTGTGTGAAGTTGTTTATTGTTGCTCTCGAAATTTAGAAACTTAGAAGGAAGAAGATGCATGCAGCATGAATGTTCTTACAACGAAAGGTCCAAACTTGTGCGCACAACACACAGACCCAGTTAGCAATTTAATTAACATATATCCTTTAAAATAAGAAATTTATAGCATTTGCACATTAGTGGTCCAAAAGTCAAAGTTTATTTAAAATTTTGACTATAAATTATCCAAAACAATCCATCACATCAAGTAGCTCTAAAGGAAGAACTAATTTATACTCCCCTATTTTAAAATATAACAACCTACCACTAGATTAGACATAATCTAGTACTATACAAATCTAAACAGTGACATGACCCAATACTACGAATCTAGACAGATCTCTGTCCAAATAGATTTATCCAGATTCGGAGTACTGGATTGTGCCTAATCTAGCTGGTACTAGATTGTTAAACTATGCTGTACATAATACTGATGACTAGTAATATAATAATAAGTTGTCGATCAACATACGCTTAAAATTTCCGTACCTATTGAAATGTGACTTAATTTTTTTCCTCGATTTGGTTAGAAAGCGGTTGGAAGATGCATGGGCTGGTGTAAGAATAACGAAAACAAGAGATATGAAACTCAACCGATAAATTTTGTCAAAATTTATAGTCAAGTACTCCATTCGTTAAAATACTTGACCTAACAAGTCTACGAGATAATGAAATTACTTTTGAATATAAATCTGCACATACCATTTTATTGTTCTACAATTAACTATTTTCAGAGTCGCTAAAAGTCAAAGTTTATGAACGTTGCCAAAAGCAGTCCAATAGGACAAGTGCCTATAACCGGAGGGAGTAATAATTTGCACTTCCCTCTAGGTTGAAAATAATTATTGGTTTAGATAAGGATAAGGTCTCCTAAAAATAACTTTGAGCACTAGTTTCTACTACAAATATGTAGAATTATGAAAAAAAAATATGTTATCATTGAAGTATTTTTTAACATTAATTAATCTATACATATTGTTGTCAGTATCCTAAATATGGGATACCCTATGTAATATGTAAAGGACCACCATATACCAAATTCTATATGAAATGACTTCAAATAAGAAAACAGAAACATAGATCCTTTAGACCCGACCGCCAGGACTACTTAGATAGTATCTATATTTGTCTTTCTAGTTCTACTAAAACAAAAGGACACCAAAGAGTATATAAATACAAAGCCCCAAGAGAAGAAACGAAGCCATAGAAGCCAAGCCTGAGACAACACAAGAGATATACAAATCAATACAACCAACCCTCGATCGTGCCGAGTCATTTGTCTCGAGGAAGCCAATAATAGTTAGTCGTTGATCACCATGCCTAAGTTTTACGCCAATATACTGGCAAACTAGACTAAGTTTTTCTCTCCTTTGTACTCGTGAGAGATTGATATATGATGACAACAATAACTCCGCCCAACGAAGTAGGGCTATTACCCATCATTAGGGGAACAGACCTTTATAAAAATCTCTATCTCCCTTACCCTCTTAACAGCTTCAATTCATATATATCAGGCAATCTCAGCTCCTCCAAACAAACCGTATAGGTACGAATACTAGAATTGTGGTATAACCCGTCGACAATCTTAATCATATATTTTCCTTTTTCTAGGGTACTTCCTATATTTCTTAAGTAGGAGTAAATATTAATTTTAGAAGTTATCTATTATATTATATACTAAAAGTCCATTAAACTTCCTACAAACGCTCTCAAGATGTTACGTGGCGCTCTAATAAATTAGAAAAAATCCTAGAAATTCTAAGAAAAAAGCAAAACATCTACCTCTTTATTTTCACTTAAATTGGTGGGTCCAATATTATACACCGTTAGATGAAATTGATTTTAAAACAAACCAAATACTATAGGCCCCACCTCTCATCTTTATGCGTGCATAGGTAGGTCACGTACATACATGCGTATGTAGTACGTACGCCTCCCTCCCTTTTTTTCCTTTTTTCTTATTTTTTCCATTTATACAATTGATATATATATATATATATATATATATATATATATATATATATATATATAATCATAATTTTACAAACAAAGAATATACCATCATATAACTCTTCATAAACACAGGTAAATAAATTAGCTCTATAATCTTTGAAAATAAAATTTACAACATATTATATGTTTACCCAGTAAATCAATAATGTAAGATAGTTTCGACTTAAATCGGTGTACTCATTACTTTGTACTATTATTTTCAAATAATTCACTATTTTCAAATAAAATTTACATAATTATATTGTGTACCTATTAAATAAACCATTTAAGATATATATTAACTAATATATACGTGCACTTAAACAGATAAACCCATTATTTAAATCATTTGATCTATTTTTTTAATTACTTTGGACTATTATTCTCAAATAATGAATTGTTTTAAAATAAAATCTACACCATTATATTGTGTACCCATTAAATTAACAATTTAAAATATATATTAACTAATTTACATTTACACTAGAACCAGTGGACTCATTATTTAAATCATCGGATCTATTATTAATAACTAAAGCGTCTAAAGTTCTCTTTTTGGCCGGCTGCATAATGCACGTCTACACCTTTGCCTTTCGGACGTGAGACAAAACGTCATGTCTGAGGCATCTCAGGTGATCACGACCGCTGCAGTGCTACTGATTTTGTTAATAACATGAAAAGAAACTTAAAGGTGTGATGCAGTGAGAGAAGAATTAAGAACCGTGGGAACACTTAGCTCTGTTTAAGTCAAATCGAGAGTTGATTACATAATAATTATAATGTATTGTGTTAGATGTATTCGGATTTTGTATTATTTGTTCGTACAATTGAAAGAAATCATTATGTTCTAAATGTGAGCACAGTATTAACGAATATCAATAGAACTCTTACTAGGATAAAAGTGTTATAAGGGAGTTTAAGGCCCTATATTTTCCTTGATTCCATCTTTTGGGTTTTCGCTTGCACGCTCCACGCTTTCCAAGTTCCTAAATAGTGCTTTTCTTAAATAACTTTTTAACTTTTTAGAAGTTAATTCATTTGTTTATAATCTCAAATAGCTATCACATAAATCAGATAATTCATCAATTTCAGTTGTCCTAAACCCTAAGTAGTACATAATTTTTTCATGCGAGTCATGGTGATCAGTAAATTGGTGATCAACGCATAATCAAAGTCGTAAGATGAATCTGTAAGAGCTACCATAAACAATTGTAAATAGGTGTCAAAATTAATTGCTATTAATTAGACATCTAATGGCTTGCTAGCAACATATTTAATTTCTCTCTACATGTATATAAACATGGACGAAGCTAAATGAATATTAACATATATCCCATACATATATATTACATGGTTAATATTCTAATTACATGTGGTAAGTCCATTAAAATTTCTTAAAATGCCCTCAAGCTGCCACGTGGTGCTCCAATAAATTAGAGAAAATATTAGAAATTCTAAGAAAAAAACAAAGTATCTATTACTTGATTTTCACTTAAATCGATCGGTCCAATATTATAAACCATTAGATTAAATTGATCTTAGAACAAACTAAATACTACGAGGTTCCACCTCTCCACCTTCGGTACACACCTACATACGTGGGTACCTACACTTCCCCTCCCTTTTTCCATTTTTCCCTTTCTTCTTTTTCTCCATAAATACGCTTCCCTCCCTTTCTTACTGTATCATGCACCTTTATGAGACGATTTAATCACAAGAATTTTACGTATCTTGCTCTCACATTTTTCATTTGTTATTTACTCAAGAACTACAAGCAATAGTTTATTATTTACTCGAGAAAAAAATATGATTCAAAAGTCGTAAGTACTTAATCCATCTCCTACTCAAAAGTTTGTGAATGGATTTTTAAGATACCTTAAGAAAAATAGAACCCTTAAATTATTACAAAATAACAATATCCGAACTTTAGTTTGCCCTTAATCTATGAGACAAAATTTTTGAACAAATAGTAAAAATCTTACTTTTCAATAATACAAGTGCCCGCGCATATATACGTGCGGGCCACCTTTCTAGTTTATAGTTAAAGTTTCAAAAGTTTGGCATTAGTATTGTATAGATTGATAGTTATTTTTAACCAGGAGGGAGCAACAAATCCGTGTAGAATATATCCTACGCCGTACATAATAATGATGAGTAGTAATATAATAATAGGTTGTAGATCAACATATGTCCAGTTGCGCACAAAATGCCCAACGAGACAGGCGTACACATGCTCACCAGAATTATTGTTTTGGCAAGTTGCATCCGTCAAATTCAGTCGGCAGGGTCACTGAGATATCGTCGTATATATGACAGATAAACGCTGCGGTGCCCTAGTGTGTGTCATATGCTATGCTACCGCGCGTTAGCTAGCCGTCGGTGTGTAGAGAGAGAGAGAGAGAGGGGTTAATTTAATTCGGCTCAAAGAAAGAACCCTAAAAAGCAGGTTGTAGAGAGAGAAATTAATCTCGAGGAGTTTTGTGGTCGACATGCGTCCTCCTCTCCCCTCTAATACTCCAAAATCACCACCAAACTAGTCTTGTTCTCTCCTCTCTCTCTCTCTCTTCTTCCTCCTTTCTCTCTCCCCATCTTCTTCTCCTTCCTATCCATTAGCTAGCTAGCTTGAGAGATCTCCATTAGAGAGAGCTTGCCCATATGCACTAGCACCATCCATGCATATGCATCTTGTAGTTATTGCTTGCTCTCTTCAATCCCAGCTTTGCCTCTAAATCCAGCAGACGCATCGGATATATATCTTCAATCTTCAACCATATAGTGGTTGAATTGAATCTACATGTATATATAGATGAGAATTAGAGGCTTAGAGCTGGAGATTTCGAAGTAAATATATTTCTTGGTCGCCTGCCGATCTTGCGAGGTGTAGAGGGGAGAGATTTTGGGATGCTTGAGGTGTCCACGCTGCGAAGCCCTAAGGCGGATCAGCGGGCGGGCGTCGGCGGCCACCATGTCGTCGGCTTCGTCCCGGCGCCGCCGTCGCCGGCCGACGTCGCCGACGAGGTCGACGCGTTCATCGTCGACGACAGCTGCCTGCTCGAGTACATCGACTTCAGCTGCTGCGACGTGCCGTTCTTCCACGCCGACGACGGCGACATCCTCCCGGACCTCGAGGTCGACCCCACGGAGCTCCTCGCCGAGTTCGCCAGCTCCCCGGACGACGAGCCGCCGCCGACGACGTCGGCTCCGGGCCCCGGCGAGCCAGCTGCTGCTGCAGGAGCCAAGGAAGACGTGAAGGAAGATGGAGCCGCCGCCGCCGCCGCCGCCGCCGCCGCTGACTACGACGGGTCGCCGCCGCCACCGCGGGGGAAGAAGAAGAAGGACGACGAGGAAAGGTCGTCGTCGTTGCCGGAGGAGAAAGACGCGAAGAACGGCGGCGGCGACGAGGTCCTGAGCGCGGTGACGACGGAGGATTCCTCGGCCGGTGCCGCCAAGTCGTGCTCGCCGTCGGCAGAGGGCCACAGCAAGAGGAAGCCGTCGTCGTCGTCGTCATCGGCGGCGGCCGGCAAGAACTCTCACGGCAAGCGCAAGGTGAAGGTATATCCCTACTACCAACCACACAACTAACACTTCAGCCCTAATTATAACTATTTTATCGAACACCATGCGCGCGCGCACACACACAGCTAGCTCTACCACACAGAGGGGAAAAGAAAAGACAAAAAAAAATCAAAACGGCATCAGAATTAACTCCTCGATCAGCTCAGATGAGAGATACAATTAACAGTCAATCACCCCAAGCTCAAACTAATCATACTGCACATATAATTTTTTTTCTCTCTCTGACGAGCAGATCTGACTGATATACAGACGAACGGGCATGCAGAAGGCAACAAACTAGCAGCGTCCTGCAGCAGATTCAAATTACTAGTATAGTTCTAGACAGAGCGAGGCAGATCCAAACCACACGCTGCGCGCTGCTGCTGCGGCTGCTGCTAGCGCCATGCACGACGGACGACGCGTCACGGGCAATCCGCACAGACGCGCACACACATGTTAGCCTGCCTGCGCGGCTGCGGGCGCGCGTGTGGGCGCGGAGGCGGAGCGTACGTACGTGGGGGCAATGAATAGGGCGCGGAAATGCCCGTGTAGGAGTAAGCCTTTTACGGATGGATCGAACGCTCGCTACTATACACCGTACCGACGAAGAGAGGCGATGGATTCGCAGGATAGATCTCGGGGAGGAGAGGGCCGTGCGCGCTCACGGGAAGGCTCATACAGTATTCATATAGCTAGTCATGGATAGAGTGGGTGTATACTGTATAGTAGCTAGCTAGACCACACCAGCACAGACACATGCACAGAGAGTACGTCTCTCGATTGCTCGTGCAGTCCTGTCGATCTCTCGATCGATCGTCTGCAGTGGCCAAATGGCCACTGTTGCTAGCTAGCTGCGCATGCAGTAGCAGAGATGACATGTAGGTGTAGGCAGGCACAGTGATATTACAAGAGATTAATTAGTGGATGTGGTTTTGAGAAGGATATGGATCGATGATGGATTGGTGGATATGTGTTGCAGGTGGACTGGACGCCGGAGTTGCACCGGCGGTTCGTGCAGGCGGTGGAGCAGCTCGGGATAGACAAGGCCGTGCCGTCCAGGATCCTGGAGCTCATGGGCATCGAGTGCCTCACTCGCCACAACATCGCCAGCCATCTCCAGGTCTATATATATTAATTTCACTATATCCAGTACTAGGTCATACATACTAGGTTATAATATAATTTTGATAGATTTTCTCTCTCTTAATACATACGAGGTTCTTCAGCACAGTTAATTAAAAGAGGCATGTCTTTCAGAGGCGAACGAAAAACACTCTTGTACTTGTATATATGGCCTTGCACACGAAAATGTTCGTTCTTAAATTTATATAGAGTATTAGGAGTATAATATGCTAGTAATAGTATACAGTACATCTATACATTTTGTGGGTTGTGACACTGTCAGGCTTAGATCTGGGAGGAACATAGTACAGGGAGCATTGTCCAAAAACTGGCGCCGCGACAAACGACGCCAGTAGCCCTGATGTACGTAACGTAGTAGCGAGTACGAGTTACTACACCGCAGCATGAATTATTAATATTTACTCGATCCCTTGAGTCAACCAAGAACTCATGGCACCCTACAATAACATACTACTTCGTCCTTAAAAAAAAATCGATCCTAATTACTATAAACCTGAGCATGGTCCAGGTTCTTCGTAGGTAGAATAATAGGATCATGTTTTTTATAGGATGTAGAGGTGGTACTAGTTAATGTAGTATACCAATCATTTTCAGTTTTGATCAAACAAACCATTCGCATCTTAATTTGAGAGTGCTATAGTAGCAACTAATTAAGCAAGCGTTTTGAGCCAAAACAATTGCATGTGCATCTTCGTTTTTTACCGCACCATCTCGCACGAAGCAGTAGCTAGGAATGTCAAGTTTTTTTTTACCAGGTGCTGCATGCTGAGCTAGTAACTGAAGGTTAAAAGGCCTTTAAAGACGAGCAAATGCATGCATGCAAGCAAACAAGTATAGCTAGGCAGGCAGCAGTAGTACTGCATGCGGGTGCAGAGGGCAAGCAGAAGCAGGGAGGCAAGGCTAGCCAGACTCGCATCGTATCCAAGCTAAAGCTAGGAATAGGATATTATTCCCCTGGCTCAAACCGTGCAACGGCGACGCGCCAAAGCCGAGTAGTCGCCACGCCACAAGCCGCCACTGCCACGGTCGTCCCCGCATGCTCCACCGCTGCCCGCTAGCTTTGTTTGCGTCGTTTTGTCACCTCCGATCCGGTAACCAGCTAATGGCTACTAGTACTTACCTCCGATGAAGTCGTGTTACCTCTGCGAATATAAACATTATAATTGTATGTTTATAGTGTGATATAAACTTTAAATCCTCAAAATACTTTATATTTTTAAACTGATACAGCAGTAACTAGCCAGAGGACATTTGCGGAAGACCGGGTAATATTTATTTAACGAAATTCTCGCTTTAAACTTGAAAAGTTAGTCTTTTTTACGATACTGGTGCTTTTGTCGGAACTTGGGGAATGTTTAGATTGTAGTCAAAATAAACCTTGTCAAATATTACCAAATTTATAGGATTTTTTATATATTTACTAAGTTTTTTTAAGAGAAGGAAAATAGAAGAACGTTCTTATGTATTTACTAGAGTATTGTAAAAAACTAAACGGATATATATATTTGACAACTTTATTTAAAAAAAATGAAATGATTTAAAATGGTGTCAATATGAACAACCCCTTGTACGTAATAAAATGTTGGTTTAACAATTATGCGGCAGCTACCTAAATAAAACAAGAGACTGTCTATATGGGATTCGCATGATTTTTTAGTCTTTCATCATGCAGTGTTTCACTAACTAGATCAAAAATGTTTCATCAAGTAGATCGAAAATGTTTCAATCTTTTAAAAAAATTGGAACACAATGAAATCACCCCATGAAACATTTTGCTACAACATATGAAACAACGGTTCTGAATGTTTCACCAAGTAGATCAAAAAAATGTTTCACCAAGTAGATCGAAAATGTTTCAATCTTTTAAAAAGCTGAAACGCCGTAAATGTTTTACCAAGTAGATCAAACATGTTTCAATCTTTTTAAAAGCTAAAACACAATTAAATCATCTCGTGAAACATTTTTCTACAATATATGAAACAACGGTTCTAAATATATTGAAATATGAATGATTTAGCTATAAAAAATCATGCGACAGCTATTTAGCATTCCCGATAAAACAATTATGCGGTAGCAGCTGAGCTGATACATACTGTGTATTTGTGAGTTAGTACTAGTAGTTAATATTGTGCATTTGTGCGTGTACTGCGTGCAGAAATATCGGTCGCACAGGAAACATCTGATGGCGAGGGAGGCGGAGGCGGCGAGCTGGACGCAGAAGCGGCAGATGTACACCGCCGCCGCCGCCGCCGCCGCGGTGGCAGCCGGCGGCGGGCCAAGGAAGGACGCCGCCGCCGCCACTGCGGCGGTGGCCCCGTGGGTCATGCCGACCATCGGTTTCCCTCCGCCGCACGCGGCGGCGATGGTGCCTCCCCCGCCGCACCCTCCACCGTTCTGCCGGCCGCCGCTGCACGTGTGGGGCCACCCGACCGCCGGCGTCGAGCCGACCACCGCGGCGGCGCCACCACCACCCTCGCCGCACGCGCAGCCGCCGTTGCTGCCCGTCTGGCCGCGCCACCTGGCGCCGCCGCCGCCGCCGCTGCCGGCGGCGTGGGCGCACGGCCACCAGCCGGCGCCGGTGGACCCGGCGGCGTACTGGCAGCAACAGTATAACGTGCGTACGAAAAAAAAGGAAAAAAAAACTGTTTCCTCTGTGACGTAGTATCGTGCATGTGACACTAGCTTATAGCTTGCTTTTCCAGTGATGCTTTGCTCGCTTTGGCTGCCTGCATATGTTGTGTGAACTTTAATCTGATGAGTTGACGCCTGGGGTTTTCATGCATGCATATGCAGGCGGCGAGGAAGTGGGGCCCGCAGGCAGTGACACCGGGGACGCCGTGTATGCCGCCACCGTTGCCTCCAGCCGCCATGGTAATTTCAAGCAAAGTAAAAATAAGTTAATCTAAGTATGTTATTAACATCCCAATACTATAAATCTACTTCCTATAATAATAAGATTTAAATCTTAGGGATAAATCTAGACACACATATATCTAGATGATTTAAGTTTTTTTCGACAGGGTAGTATGGAGCACTCCTCCCACTTAAAAAAAATCAACCTCTAATTATATATATGGATATAGTATGTTATCAGATATATATAGTTAGAAGTTCGATTTTATTGGACAGAGAAATTATATGCTATTAATTAGAAACAAACCATTGAACTTCTTATAAATTAAGAGTGCTCTCTTCGTACATAAATATAAGTATTCATGATGAGAATTGGAAAAATTTAAATGAGAAGTGAATAATAAGATAAGCAGTACTTAATGGATCCTTATATTTGTCAACAAATTTCAAGTGCTTCTAATACTTATATTCTTAGATAAATTTTAAATGCTTATATATTTTTGGCTGGTGTATGTGTTATGTACAGTTGCAGAGGTTTCCTGTACCGCCGGTGCCTGGAATGGTGCCGCACCCCATGTACAGACCGATACCGCCGCCGTCACCGCCGCAGGGGAATAAACTCGCTGCCTTGCAGCTTCAGCTTGATGCCCACCCGGTAAGTATATATGCACTTCACTTTTTTTTTTCTTTAACACACGCTTAAACTGTTAAACAGATAGATGCTAAAAATAAAATCCATTGATTAACGTCTTCATAATATTTAATAGCATTCAAATTGTGCTTATCTACATAGAAAGTACTCTCTCCTTCCAAAAGTCTAAGACTTATTTTATTTTTTTATTTTTTTTTTAAAAGTCTAGGTCCTATTTATAGTCATTATGTGTTAAATTAAATTGTTGATAGGAACCCAAGAAGCCATTTTAGTGTTTATGGGTTGCATATTCATTGGTTTGTCATATGGTGAATGAATTAATTGCTTCTTGGTCTTGGTGAAAAAGAAATAGGACTTAGACTTTCGGAATAAGAGAGTAATACAAAGAATGTGTTCTAATAAGACCTATTTAGCACAACTCCAGGTTCTAGATATATGTTGGGTTAGGAAATTATAGTAATTTAAAATTCTATATATTCTCTCTAAAGTAAAATTATTTATCATAGATTCAGATTCATTGAAGGAACACTTATCTCTAAGAAATCTCGGGTCCGAAGCTATGTCAAACAAACCTAAACCACGCTAGCTGATCGGATGAATTTTTATTAGTTTTGTTGCTCCGGCATGTGTATATGTATGTTTAATTTTGTCTCGGTTGCAGTCTAAGGAGAGCATAGACGCAGCCATCGGAGATGTTTTAGTGAAGCCATGGCTGCCGCTTCCCCTCGGCCTCAAGCCACCGTCGCTGGACAGCGTCATGTCTGAGCTGCACAAGCAGGGCATCCCCAAGGTGCCACCGGCGGCGAGCGGTGCCGCCGGCTGATACACATCGATCACACCGATCGTCTCCTCCGCCGCCGGCGAAAAAAAAAAAAACCTCTCCTCTCTGCTCCGGCCGGTCTCCACGATGAGAAGAGGCAATGCAACCCGTCGACTTGTCGTAGCTTCGTCAGTGTGAATTGATTCATCATGCATTCACCCAATGCGTGTAGACGAGCTCGATGTGTAAACTAGCTAGTGTGTCTTGTGTGTTTGCATTGACATATCTGGGTTTTTGCTCTCATGGAATGTGCATGCAGAGACGATGCAGGCGACATGCATGCCTACCTGAGAGTTGCGTGTAAAATATAAAATGTTTTGAGATGGAACGTACACGGACTGCTATATATATTTTGGACAGCTGGTAATTAAATTGAGAAATAACCAAGGAACTTACACTTATGTGAGAGTTGTTGTGTTGTTCTACCATGTCAGTGAGTTGTAAGATCTTCTCCTTACAATTTGGATACACCAACTGTAGGAGATGTGTACCCTCCCCTCCATTCCTACGTATAAGTTTTAGGTTGTTTAGTAAATATTAAGTTTGAGGGGGAGAGATTTTCCTTCAGTCACCTAATTGGCCAAAATTTGAATTTGTTTGGATTCCCCTCCTAAGCAACCGATTGGCAGAAAATGCTTGGATTTACATGTATTGTAGTGTCCCCAAAATACTTATATCATACTTCCCTCTATTATAATTTGATCAACACCTAAAACTTTTGAGGTTTTCCCAATTTGATCATCTAACAAAGTGTATTTTTTTTATTTGTGTAAAGAGTAATTGTGCATCGTGAAATGCCCCAGGATGCATGCTTGCAACCAATGATCAATTTTTATAAATGATTTTTTGTTGGATGCGAAACGACGGAACACCTTGATCAATGAGAATTAATTTCAGAATGATAGATGTCGTGTTTTTTGTTTGGAGTATATAAAATTGAAATCCTAAAAAATACTTATATTCAGAAACAAAGTGGAGTACATGTTATTGATGAGTGTTTTTATTTCTTTAAGGAAAAGAGTAGACTCGGTTAATCGGAATCAAGCATAAGATGTAATAAGTTGAGTTCGATCATATATGCGTAGATCCTAACATATAGATATATGAAATATATGCCAGACTCATCCTCTCGTTCGTCGTTTCAGTGTCACACTGCTGCCCCGACATGTACGACCTTGGACGAGTGGTGCCACTCGTACATCGTACGTGTCTTCGCAAATGTGACGACGACTGCAACTCGACGCCACAAGATTTTGCAAATCGCTGTACTAGATGCCAACGATTGATGACGACATCCTGCCCCTCGCCTTTTGACTTGTTGCGCTTCCTTCTGTCCTGATCTCCAGATTTGAACCGAACCTAAACTTCGTCTGCAATTATTAGTTGCCAAAGATCTGCTGTATAGTGACCTTTAACGTTAACAAAGTCCAAGCAGAACAATCAGCGTGCTGACAGAGCCACACATGTATTGTTCCATTCGACATAGCTATTACACAGGTTACTCATCAGAAAAGTAATACGAGATACATAACTAGAAGGTTCATAAATCGTTACAAGCAAAACGATACAACAAATTGAGCAGAAGCAAAAATTTCAGCCCTTTATAAACTGATGAACCATAGACCCTTCGATTTCTGCTGCTGCTGGGGCTGCTTTCTAAACACTGTTTGCAACAGACGTCACTCTCCGATGAATGGTTTGGTGGATGATTAGACATGTCCCCGTCTTGAGCTAGACCTGTAAAATCGCGGCGTTTGGTTTTGTGCCACACATATTCTTCCATTTTACTCTACTTCTTTGATTATTCTTCTCTTCCTGAAGGGCTGCACAGGCATGCTCCCGGGGGCACTGTGCGCACGCCTCCTTTCTTCTTTACGGTTTTCTGCTTCAATCATCGTTCGCCTTAAGTTGGCCGCCTTGTAGATTGGCTTAGGTAAGTGCCTATGCCTGCAGCGAAACGCCATCCATGCAACATCAACAAAATGATTGTTCCAAGTATGGGGATTGTAAACGAGATGATCTATACAAAGTACGTGGAACTTCCCCACGTCAAGAGGCGGTTATATTACCTCACAATCCGCTTGACTTCGGGAAGGTGCTTATACCGCTCCTTGACAGCATCTAGGTATTCTTGTTTTCTGCGTTCTCTTGGAAGAAGCTGCAAAAGGACAATAATGCATTAGAAAATATTATGAAATAAAGTACAAACATGAAACAATAATGCGCAATATATCAGTTGCTTTGTTCGATGACAATAAGACCTGTGCACATTGGAAAAAAAGGACAGCAAAACAATGGGTATGGTAACAATTGTTCATGAACTAACAGAAAGAACATGTAAACAAGGTACCGAGTGGTACAGCCTTTTCTAAGAATAAGGCACAGCTCATGTTAATAATCATCAAAGTTCAAGCATTCAAGGCAGACTTGCACAGTAAATTCTACTGAAACAGAAGAGCATTCACTGAGTTCCAAATTGCAGTGGATCGGGCATTCTCATGTTGCTTTGCACGAGCTCTATGTTCACCTAGTCTATGCTAATGTATGCTAGCATCTCACAAGACCACTCTGGCACCTAAGAACACCACTAGCACCTAGCAGCACTTAATCATTCATCGCAGATTGCTTGTCTCCTTTTTCTCTCACTGGCCATGTATATATGCCAACATTTTTCTGGTGGTTATCCATTATTTTTAATTCAGCACAACACTTGATCTAATGGCAGTGTATGATAATAGCACAGAAAAGCAATTAAAAGCAAGTGAAAAACAAATGGCTGTTGATATGTTTACTTTGTTAAGCATCTACATTCAACAGTGAGAAACAGAGTTTCTTGTCCAAATTAGCTTCCAATTTGTAGCAAGAGGGTGAGTGCAAATCACAAGATATATGAGCAAGTAAGCCAAAGTGGCAAACAGAAGATGGTGTTAGAAACTTACAACTCCCAACTGTTCTGAAGCTTTGGACTTCCACAGCCGAAGATTCGTATCATCACTGCCAGAAACCAAATAGGTTCCATCATAGGTGTATTTCACACAAAACACCCTGCAAAGATAAGAGGTAAAATGATTTAGACAGGACTGATGCAATGGAAACCCCATAAAGCCGTGTTCAATAAGATAACAGTCTGACAGGTAACAAGTGTCAGCTATATAAGCATTTGAAGGTGAAATATTATATTTGATCTTGTTGTCCATTAGGTTGAGAACACTCTGATGTTTGATCTTAGAAAGTAGCATCAGTTAAAGCTAGAATGCCAATAAAATAATGGAAAAGAACCTTTGCATCCTCTTAGTATGGTATATCTCCCTGCTATGATCACCATTATATTGGAAGATCCGCACCTGCCAGAAGCATTGACAACAAAGTTGTTAATGCAAAATCACCAATACATGTCTAGAATGTAAGGTCACTATAGTATCTTCGAGAGTCCACGTACTGTTCTATCGTAGGAACCCGTAACAAATTCACGCCCTGTTGGTGAATAATCAATGTCCATCCTGTGAAGAACGTTCATGTAAAATGACTTCCCAGAATCAAGAAGAGTAGCAAAAGATGCAGGATATAATGGGAAATTGCATGGGATATTAACTCTGCATGTGTTTGATACTTATAGAATCTTTTGCGGAGGACTGGATTTCACACACAAACCTTCCGCCAAGATCCTCGATAGCATATTGATGCCATGCCATATATGTATGCATTTCTCATATTTGTAGAAAATTGCGTTGGTTTATGAGTTTAGAACTTATAATATGCTTAGTTAACACCCAACAAAATAAATGGGTAAATTGACCTTTTTTTTCTTTACCAAGGAATCAGTCTTTGCAGATATATCTACTAACTTTTTTTCTTTACAAGGGATCAATATTTGCAAATATATCTATTTTAAAGAAAACAGGGTATAAAAAAAAAGGTTCCAAAATCCAAATGCTACTTACACTGCTGAAACATGGCCCTTGTGAACAACTTTGGCTTCATCAAGCTTTCTAGCATCAAAGGAATAGCAATTTGTATCTTCATTTACCTAGCAAGAAAAAGTATCAGGATAGATGTTACTAGATGATAAAAAGACCAAAACATAGTTTAGGCTTGCACTATTTGTAAGGAAAGCTTGACAGGTAAGCTCCAGAACTATAGCATACAGTTCAAATAATTCATTCGACAGTCAGCACCATATACAGGAAACAAATAAATCTTACGGCAGTGAAGTTCATAGGCTCCCTAGGGTTCCAGCATATTGAGTTGCACCTTGTCTGCATAAGCAAAAGTTGCATTAGCTTCTTGATGGTTCTGCAGCTACTCAAATAGCAAGCTAGCACCCGCAGAAAAAATTAAAGGGAAAACAGTACTCCCTCCGTCTCAAAATCTAGCAACTTCTCCACCTACATTCTCTTCTCAACCAATCACAACCTTCCCCCATTTAATTTCTCCACATACTTCCTCTTCTCAACCAATCATATATCTTCCCCCATTTAATTCCACCTACTTCCTTAATACCCATGCCCTTCCTTGATACCCATGCCCAACCATAAAAGTTCTTATATTTTGGATGGAGGTAGTAGCTATTTTTAGAGCCCGTCCATTTTCAAGTGGAAAAGGAATTTTCTCTTCATAAGATAATTGTTTTCACTTATATTTTTGACTTGGAAGTGAATAAATGATGCAGTAACTACAGCAGAAAACATTGGAGGGAGACAATATCAACTACTAGCTATCACAGACACCTTGTAGTTGTCTATGAGAACAGAGTAAACTTTTTCTGCATGACAGAATCAACAATGTCCATATGTTACATGTATCGGTTTTGAAATTTTAAGGTCTGCCAAGCATCCACAAATAAAATAGAATTCAACAAACCTTCATGATTAGCTTTCTAGCAGGGGATGACATGCGTAGATCATAAAGTGTTATACTCCGATCACTGCAAAATTGATATCATCCCACATTACCGTGTTAAGAAGTTTTTTGAGAGGCAAAACAATAAATGATAATATTCACAGCCAAGAAATAGGATTGACCAAAACTGGCATCAAGGTCATTGAGCAAGAAATTTAAAAAAGTGTCCACATAATTGGATGAGTCAAAAGGAGAACATGAATTTTAAAATAATTAGTCATCAGTTATTTATCCTAAATAACTAAACTTACCTAGCTGATGTAATTAGAACATCAGGTTCTCCAGGATTAAATCTCACGGACAGAACTGTATCTTTACCCCATTCAAAGCTATTTATTGGCTCTGACCTATACAAATGATGAAAGTGTCAGTGCTGGCGACGACTCAAACGAAAGGATAAACTGCTGCAAGTGAATCCTCAAATATTCTACCTGTTTTGATCCCATATATCAACCTGAGCACCTACAGTTGCAAAAAGATTGCCATCCCACTGGTGGTCAACACCCCTAAAAATAATGAAAAAAGAAACCTGGTGATCAACCTGGGAACCTACAGGCTATAGTTTCAAATAAATCTGGAACATAACAAAGCACACTCTTACCAAAACGCATGCTTCCAGGTGTAGACCGCTGATGGCTATAAACAGTAGCAAGTTAATCAAATAAGATATACCCAGGATAAGACAAAAGAATCTAGACGTGTGCATTCAGTGTATACCTGAGAAGCATCTCCAATAGCATCGTTAGTGTCTACCATCTTGAGCATAGGGACTTTCCATAGTCGAACACTGCAATGGATGGATAAGTGCACACAGTAAGAACAGACAGCCGGTATTCCGCAATTACATCTTTTTTACTTCATACATTGAGAAGGTTGATTTAAATGAAGTAAAATTAATATTAGAGCCACAGTTTCATTCAATACATGTGTAACCAGTGTAAATGTTATATGCAAGGCACCGTAAGCTTCTTACTTTATTAGTACAAATGGGTCCTAAACCATATAAGTAAACGTGTAAAAAAGAGTTGTTTAGTTGGGGTTAAGCTTGTGGCAGTTTTAGGTTCAGAGTTTCAGTACTCTAACTAAGACTGAGTTTGGAAATAAGATTATTTCATAAGACAACCACAAATTTAACTTACGTGCAGTCAACACCACATGATACTAGAAGATCACCATCAGTAGATGTCGCCAAACCCCTCACAGCACCCTGATGTCCAGGGAACTGGCAGACTGTCTTCCTGTTTTTGTTAGTCAACAAAAAGAAAATGGCATATGTAAGTGACATAATTAAGAACTGCTCTAGCTAGCAATATGGACAAGGATATGCATAGATGAACAAACTGGTGCCACGAGTTTGTACATAATAAAAAAGGATGATCCTCTGGCGAGAGTATCACCACTGTTATATTAGTACCTTGCAGCAATGTCCCACAGACGAATATCTGCCAGCAAAACAGAAGCTACAGTTAACCATTTCAGATCCAAATGTAACTATGATAAAGCAGTGCATGATTGTCACTTTGTTCTGAATAAATGAATTAAAATCATCTGCTTCGACATAGCAGGAAGTGAACCAAAAACAGTTCCAGTTTCTAAAGTTACATAAAATGGCCACAGCATGTACAGTACTGAAACATAATACAACCAAATTATACTTGTAAAAATGACAACACAAATGCACACTGCTGTTATGTCATAAACATCAGTTCCTGATAATATAACGATTATATAAACTGCCTGCATGCATCATCAGATACAATTAATGCACACGAATAGCAGTTCACTTGTAATACCGATATTGTCTTTATCAATCAACTAAGTACTCAGGAAATGCAAACAAATGTTCAGGTTCATAATATAGTTTCTAAGTGCATCATACTCAGGAAATGCAAACAAATGTTCAGGTTCATAATATAGTTTCTAAGTGCATCAGAAGACAAGAGTTAGTAACTATAACTAGCTATGCAAATGTACTCAGACAAAACATCTGATGTGAGTATCACCCCCAGGCTCAAAAGACAGAAAACTGAAGGTCTGCATGTTATGGCTGCATTGATTGAACTACTTTATCAAAGGCGCAAATAAGAATGCAGAAGAACATCAGGAGACAAAAGCAGCATCCTAGTACAGAAGTATGGTAATTACCCCCATCCATTGAGCCAGAAAATATTGCTTTCAAATAATTGGGGTTTTTCGCCATGCATGATACAGCATCAACATGGCCATCCATTGCTCCAATAAATGGCCTAGCAAATATCTGAAACCAGAGCAGCAAAGTTCACATCAAAATCTGTACTATGAAAGAAAAAAAACACAGAGAAGAAATGACACACAAACCTTCTCTAACTTCGCAGCATTAAGAGCCCTGGTGTATTCAACCGCTTTCTCCTGAGAACGAAGTGCTGGATCATAATTGCGGAATACTTTCTGTTGGGAGCAACAAATGAGATAGAAAATGTCAGTGGCTGGAACCAGAGTAATCATATTGGCCTAAGCAAGTGACCAGACAAACTTTCAATGACCTGAACCTAGTGTTGGCCATAGCATTCAAAAACTCAGTGTATATTTCAGGAAAAAATAAGGATTCAAAACCTAACTTCATAATTATGTAAATCGCTTGACTAAAAAATGGACGGTAGATATCTACTATATTAACCTAGAATGCAAAGCAACAATGAGACATCTCTCCAACCAATACTCTGTCCAGACATTTGAAACAAAGCTCTTCTGTTAACCTTAGCTAGAACCAAACTAGAAAAAGGGAACTCTGCAGTGGCTCTTATGCATCGATATATACCACATGTCAACCGATGAATTCAAGAAAATCAACACAATCCCAGCAAAAGGGGATAAAAATTAGCCCCTAGAAACTTCGCAGCTACACCAAATTGACTAGGCATATATTTGTACCACTCATTCGTCCTCGAGTGCAAACAAACTCGGTGCTTCAGAACCTACGAGCTGATTGCAACAACAAAGCTCCATATCATAGAACTAAAGCATGGAGACTACATCGCGCTCTCGCGAGGGAGCAAACCAACGAAGTCATCACTGCTACCAATCAAAACCTACAAACAGCAACATGAAGCAGCCAAGGGGAAGCGGAAGCGAGGACGCGACGCACCTGCAGGTCCTGGCTGCGCTCCCGCGTGAACTCGTCGGTGGAGCGCGATATCACCTTCACCCTCATCCCGGCCACAGACGCAGTCAGGAGACACGGCCGGCCGCCGCGAAACCAATCCGGAGGCGACGAAGGAGGATAAGGCTAGATCACTCCGCTCGCGTCCCCGGCGTTCTCCGCCGCGCAGCCTACTTAAAACCCTCGCCGCCGCACCACGCCGCCGCCGCCGCCGCCGTTGGGGAGTCGGAAGGGAGGGGGAAGCGAAAAAGAGGCCGAGGCTTCGAAGCGAACCCCAGAAAAAAAAAGGAAGAAACCAAAAACCCGGCCCAAATAACTCGGCCCAAATAGACGGCCCATATTGAATCACGCAAAATTACAGTATCTGCCACTGCAGGAGGAAAAACGAAAGGAAACCCCATCTCGGAATCCTCTACGATGGCCGCCGCCGCCGCGAGGTCGCTGCTCCGCTCGTCCGCCTCTCTCCTCCGCGCGGCGCCGGCGAGGTCCGCGTCCGCGTCCTCCTCCGCCGCGCGCCCGTCTCTCCGTCGCGCGCTGGCCGCGCCCCCTCGCATCCTCAGGTATGGCACGAGTGCACGACACCCGCCGCTGGCCCCGCGCACAGGTATGCGGGACTGATATGGCGTCGGCTTCGTTGTTTGCGCAGGTCGCCTGTTGAGCTGAGTGTATGCGTGGAGTCCCTGCTGCCTCTGCACAGCGCCACCGCCGCCGCGCGGATGACGTCCATGCTCGCCGTTCCCGGGCAAGGCCTCGGGTGGCTCACGGAAGGTAAAAACTGAAGTTACTCTTCTCATCTTCAGATGTATGATGGTTCATAAGTTTCGATAGTCATTCTGTTGATGTGAATCATTGGCCAATTCTGTGCTCATTGTCACTGATAACCCGGCTCAAAGCTAACATCATGCTACTGGTAGTAGTGACCTGTCATAGTTGATCCCAATGCGCAGAATAAACATTGGCCCAAATGTGCGTAACCATTTGGGTGTATCATTTGTTTCATTCCCTCCACTTCTGTACCCTAGCATTAGCACTTCAACTCTGCTAGCGTAGATGCAAGTCATGCTTTCATCGTTTAGTTTGACGCCAGTCATCTTTTGTTGACATAATTCTCCAGTTCTGTTTGTTGAAATAGAGTCGTTTTTTATTCTTCTTTTCATTTCTTGTTGTAGGACAAGATGAAACTAGATGAATACCAACTGGGAAAGGTGAACACTAAAATGTCCCCACCGTTATTGAGATATTTGTGGATGCTATGCTATTTAGTAATTTATAGTTGTAGATTATCACCAAACCTAGTTCCGATTTATGAATACCACTTGTATTTTTACGGAGAAGATGAAGAGTTATCAGGTTAAAAATTGTCCAATGGAAACATTGAAGAAAATGTACTGATGATTTTTTTTAACTTCTATGCAATCTAAAACTCTACTTAGTGAATAAGCAACACTGAATCTTTTGGTGAGATGTACTGACATTTCACCCAAAGATCAGTGTTATCTGCACACGATGTTAAATGAGGAAAAACATTAGTTGCATCTTGTCCTACAGGGGTACCAACATTTTTTTTTTGTTTTTAGCTTTTCTTTACTCTACTTGCTTCCATTCATGGCGGAACTTATGACTTGGCATTTGATTGTGAAGTAAGCTAAAAGTAACAGCAGTAGTTTTAGATTTCTTTTGCTTCAATTCGTTGAACAATTATGTTGACTTAATACTGTTGGACAACAGCTGAAACTGATGGATTATGCTGAATTACTATTCTTGGACAACAGCTGATACTGATGGAGTATGACGGCAGCCTGCTTCTGGAACCAGGAGATTAGTAGTCCGTCAAGTTCATTTGTGAGCCTGCAGAATTAGTTAGAAAAGGAAGCACTCTTTTCTTTTTATTTATGTGAACTATGAAGATGGCTTAATAAACTACTTTGGATATTGCTCAGAACCCTTTCTCCCTCTTCATTGACCAGATCCTTTTGTAATGGAAACCATTGGAGGACCAATGTATGCGTTGCTAGCTACTGTAAAATGTTGCAGAATTTTTTTTTCTTTTGATCAAGTGATTTAAAAATGCTTTCATGGTGCAAGACACTCTAGCATGTTTTAGCATTACTGACATGAACCATATGCTTCTGAGGTGTGTTTGGTTTGTTCTAATCCATATTGAAGCCTCATATGAAGCTCTGATAACTTTGGTGAGGTTTTGATATCAGTTGATTTTTTTATTATGTTAAAACCTTTTGTTGGCGTTTCATTTTCTTAGGACCCTCTATTTCCTTTTTGGCAAATTTTGCTATAGGACACTTTGACTTTGTGGTTTTAGTCTCAGGACACCGTCCGAACTCACTTATGGATGTTTTCCACGAAGTCGAAGTGTCCTGTAGCAAAATTTGCCTTCATTGTTTGGACCAACCATGGGTGCCAACTGAAAACCACTAAGATTTGGTAGTTGGTCCATACGATTTTGCTATATATTTGTCGACAATTTTTTTCCCAAAAATTTGACATATGTAATTACAGTACAATCGTAGTGTAATTACACTGTAAGTTGCATGTAATTACACTGTAACTATAGTGTAACTTGTATGTAACTTTCAAAAATCTCTCCGTAACATGTTATTTCGGTAAAATGGAGGTCGTGGGAACAAATTATTTCTCATATGTGTGTGCTATGATTTGTTTTATTCCTCACCAAAACAAATTTTGTAATAGATCTAACGATTCAAAATTATGTGAAACTTACATATAAGTTACACTGTAGTTACATGCGAGTTACAGTGTAATTACATATAAGTTACAGTATAATTACACTACAATTGTACTATAATTATATATGTCAAATTTTTAGGAGAAAATTTGTTGACAAATGTATAGGTAGTCCCTGGTCCATATTAGGTTTTCGTTTTCATGTGCTTGATTTGTTCAACACCAGCAGTTTTCACTTCTCACTTTTCAGCAGGCATAGTGCTCCTACTCACAATTCAAAACAATATGATCATTCCCGCCAATTTACAAGCTGATGATGAGTACTCCAGTATATTATATCATTGATGATGATGATGCGTCAGCGTCACCGCGGGCTGGATATCCGCGGCGCCGAGCACGAAGTGCTGCCGCACCTCCTGGATCTGGCTTCTGGAGAGGAACTTCATGCAGATGGGCGGCTGCACCTTGAGCATGGCGAGCACCGCCGACGGCAGCGTCCACAGCCCTTCTCCGCAGATGAGCCCGGACGCCACCACGACGGCCAGCGTCGCGGCGCCCTGCCTGTCCGCCCTCCGCCACGCCATCAGCAGCAGGCTGCCGACGCACATGTCGATGGCGAACGTCGGCCCGACGAAGAACGGGATCGCCATGGCCATCGGGTTCGGCACCCAGCCCCCCACCCTCCACCGCGCCGCCCTCGCCGCCGCCCCCGCCGTGTCCAGGAACACCGCCGCGGCGAAGCAGGCGGCGCACAGCGCGATGGCGTGCCTCGGCAGGGTGCCGACGCCCTCCACGCCGAGCACGGCGATGCCGCGGTAGGCGACGGCCATCGGCGCCGCGTACGCCGACCTGGGGTCGCCCGGCGGGTGTTCCGCGCCGGCGAGCCACCGGAACGCGAGGAAGACGGCCGGGTTGACGACGCAGCCGAGCGCCGTGCCGATCGCCTGGCTGGCGAACATGGACACCGGCGAGGTGAGCGTCAGGTACGCCGTCTTGAAGTCGTGCATCAGCTCCGCGGCGTCGCCGATGACCACCATCATGACGCCGCACGCGGCGAGCCCGGCGATCACGCCGCCCGACGCGGCGCCGACCGACGCGCCGACCACGAAGATGGCGAGCTTCCCGTACACCGTCGCCAGCGACCAGTCCATCAGCCCGGAGGTGTACGAGTTGCAGAACGCCAGGAGCGGCGCCACCGCGTAGCAGACGGCGACGTGGTGGTACCGGATCTGCGGGAAGATGCGCGGCACCAGCGCCGTCGAGAGCGCCGCCAGCGCGACGTACCCGGCGACGGCGAATTGGTCGGGGATCCCGTCGCTCAGGAACACCTGGTTCCTGCGCCGCTCGTCGTACGTGGCGTGCCACTTGTTCTCGTCGTCGTCGTCGGGGACACAGCCGCCGCCGCCGTCATCGGCCGCGCCATCGACGGCGAGCTTCTGCTCCTGCCGCCCCTTGCGGTAGTGCTGCACCGCCTTGACAGTGATGGCGCCTAGCTGGAACAGGCAATCCCCGAGCACCATGGATACCCCCATGGGCACCTGCATGTTCGATCCAAGCACAAAATGGTCAGTGAAATGTAAAGAGAGAATGTAAAGAGAGATCTCGCCGATAATAACTCTCTTCGTTCTTAGATAATAACTCGCACAAAAGTATTAAGATTTGTCACGTCGAAACAAACTACCATAGAAAATTTGGAAGAAGAGAAACCAAAAAAATGTTCCAGTGCAAGGAGCTGTCAGCGATAACTTTGAACACAAAGATTAAGAGGCAAAAACCTAACCTTGATGGGAGCAAAGCATCTTTCCGAGATTATGGGTTAATTTTCTGTGCAAAGTTTTATTTTATACCTGTATAAAAATTTTGATGTGCTTTATTCAATGAAATTTGTGCCTCTTGAGCCGATTCATTAAAAAAAAGAAAAGAAAATTACTCCCTCCACTTATGAATATTTAACATTTAAAACAAGATTTGATCAAAGTTGAAAATTTCATATCTTATTCTAAAAATCAAATATACTTATTATCACAGGAAGTACAATTTTGGTGAAAAATATTTCCATACCATGATGACCAAACATGTACAAAGGTGGCATACCGACGTTAAAAACGACAGGTAAAAAGGAACGGACAAGGTACTAACAAGCGATTGGCGATTGCCATTCAGAAATCACAACAATCAACATATGTCTGTTTCTAACCTTGTATCCATTGATTCCCTTGAAGCTGGTCGGGGAAGGATCGGTGTACCATTCCCCTTGCTTCGCCTGTAACGCGGGCCAGATGAACCCGGAAGAGGAGATGGACCCAAGGAGCATGGAGAAGTTGATCAGGTGGGGGCAGATCATGCCGACGCCGACGAGGCTCGCCGAGAAGTCGAAGTAGAACTTCTCCTTGTACGCCTCGAGCCCGAACAGCGGGAAAGCATGGAACCCGCACCCGTCTCCCCCCGTGTAGAACCACTGGAAGAACGCCCACGCGAAGCTCCCGGCCACGGATTTGAACATCGCATTGACCTGCAATCTGAATTGAACATGCCGGTTGATGATTTTAATCTTTGCGAAAGTTTTGCATGAACTGACATGAGAAATGTTAATTTACTTGGCTTTTGTTGCTCCCTTGGGTGTGTGGAAGCTGTTGACGATGCCGGCAACGGCTGAACCAGATGGGTATATCAGCTTGTAGTCCACGATCATTGTCTGCCAAGAAATGAACAGGGGAGTGGTTGGTTAATCAGAGATTAAATTTTGTTTAAATGTTACTCCCTCTGTGTGTGTGTGTGTGTGTGTGTGTGTGTTAAATAGATGTGAAATGGCTAGGGTGAATTTGCGATGATGAATCGATTATACGCACATTCCTCAGCGGCAGAGTGCAGAACAAGCTGGAGAAGGTGACGAGGAAGAGGAAGGCCACGATCTTCCCGGTGTGCAACGTGTACACATTCCGGCCGTCCGTTCCTCCGCCGGCCGCCTTGGCCACCGTCTCGTTCATCGCCAGCAGGTAGCTCGTGAAACCACCTGCACAGACGTACATCCCCCTCATCATCAAAAAAACAAACGTAGGAGACCAACGTCCAACGATCGATCGATCAACCGACCATCGGACGTGATAGAAAAAAACGTGGTTATTTGCTAGAGGACACACGGGGGAGGAGGACAGTGCGGGTACCTACCGTAGATTGACAATGTGGCGCAGGAGATCACGCATGTCTGCACCACGACGTTCTCCTGCCTTGTGAAGGGCTGGGAGGCGACGCCGCAGCGTGCCATCAGCCGCGTCCACGACTTGATGATGAAGAAGCTGAGGAGGCTCGCCGACATGTTGAACGACGGCACGAAGCCGGCGGTGAGGCCGGTCCGCATCGCCATGAAGCTGAACAGCGTGCCGAGCACCACGCTCACGGCCACCGCCCGCACCGTCACCTGCTGCCACCACGGCGGCGGCGGCTGCCCCGCGAACGCCGCCTCCACCGACGGCGCCTCCTGCTCGCCGCCGGCGCCGGCGGGGTCTGCCATCTTTGGTTTACCTTCAACGTCGTCGTTTGATCAATTCAATTTGTTTACCTTCACCTCGTTTGATCGGTTGTTTTGATGAAACTCTGTGTAATCCACGTAAGCATGGCTTTTTATAGGCGTGTCACTAACAACCAAGAGTTTCTTTTCCTTTTCTTGGCGGGAGATTGTTGCGGCAAACGTTGTTTATACCACTGGCAATTCGCTGTTAAACGTGTCAGGAATGGTTAAAACTTAAGCAAGCATTTGACATAGCTCAAGCTTGACATTCTGGAGACAACACACAAATATTACAGCGGTCACAAAAAGGCAATATGGCAATATTCACCAATGTAGGATTTGCAACAATTAACTCCATTGATAACTGGTACTCTAGCAACATGTCACCCTGCTGAGCTTGTTCCATCACAGCAGCAATACAGGCAGCAACAGGTAACAAGAGGAATCACCACTTAGTAGACGCATACCATGGATAAATTCAGTTCGATCTTTGATCTTATCTACTACCACCATACCAAATAAACATGCTTAGGCAAAGGGTTCATAATATTCTCAGTCATCATGCTTCCTTGTTATGGCAGGGGAAGGGGCGAATCAACGACAATTACTCGGTCACGTTAACCAACTCATACTCTACTAGTGACAAGTTGTTGTCCTCCTTAACAGTAAAGCTGGCAGGTTCTGTAGCCTCTATACGCCCCCACTTGTCCACCGCAAGCCTCATTGAGCCTTTGAACATGTCGATTTTGGCATTGCGCATGATCACTGTAGCACCAGGCTTCAACAAGTCAACTGCATAGTAGAAGAATATATCAGTACATGGCACAAAAACCATCAAACTCACAAGTCATGAGAATGTAATCAATGTATTAGACCATAAAGTGGCAACCCACGAATCATACATCCGACAAAGAGCATGACTAACAGATTCTTAGCATACATGAACCGTCAAACAGAATGATAGCATATTAGCATATATAGGAATACTTATTAGTCTGGATATTGTCATAGATTATACGAATCATGATACTGCCCAAGACTATACACAAACGAATTCTTAACTGACGAATAACATGACTAATATTGCAACCCCAAAAGATCATACAAGAATTTAGCCGACAAACAGTAGGAAAAATTTAGCCTAACACATGATCTGTTAGCTAAAAATGATAGTGGAGCATGCAACAAGTAATGATTTAACAACATAATAGGCTGAAGTTACAACACTTCTCATTTTGCTATGTTACTAAACCTTGAAATCTAGTCATGCTATTTGTGGATAATAACAGTACAAATATAGGATAGTAACAAAATGAACAGCCATGTGAATTATCTCCTTTTCAACAGTTTTACAAGCCTCCACATTTACAACACATCAAATCCAACTATATAAAAAACTTTCCAGTATAGAAAACAGAGAGGTAATGACATTCGATGACAGAATAATAGAATTGTTATTATGGCATGTTGGACTCTGTCCAAACAAAAGAAATAGATGTAAGATCATTGATCAATAAAAGACGCAGATTATTTCATGAAAGTAGAATGAAAATAGCATCTCATCGGGACAACTAAAAAAGAAAAAATAAAAAAACTGCATGGGGATTTTATTTCATTCGTCCAATATTAGGTTGCCAGGAATTCCAGGCTAAAAATAGAATAACCTCATGTGGGCATAAAAGAGTAATATGACAATACAGGATAAGACTCAACTATTGTCCTAATGCCAGAATAATAGAGCAAAAAGGACAAACAGAGAATTAGGATGAAATAGTGGTAGTGAATTGGTGCTGACTCTTCACTAGCGATCGGCCAACTACTTGGAACGACAATGTAGCTCATCCTGGACATACCTATAAGAGAACCATTTCCTTGTGGATTTTTGCCATATTGATAGCAGGCATTTGTCTGCCATAGAAGATTGTGTGATGCACCACTAACAAAATAAGGTGTCAAAATAATCCAAGCAGTGACATAGGTTCGCTACTTGGCCATCCATACTTGAAATAAACTAATCACTTTGAAATGATGCCAGATAGTGGGATCACTGGATCACCATCTAAATACAATTCCCTGTCACCCATCACCTAAATTTTGGTAGGATTAATAGAAACAAAATTTGCATCTAAATACAATTCCCAGTCACCCAACACCTAAATTTTAGTAGGACGAACAGAGAGAAAATTTGCATCTCGATATAAACAGGGGATTGGAAAAAAAATTATATCATGATAATAACAGACCACCTGTCAACAGCAAGTCAGCACTGCATTGGATAAAGACATTGACATCTAAAGCAGCCACGCAGAACAATTCAAGATTCCCCGTGGAAACCATTGCAAGACAGCAGGTAAAATAAAAGGGAAAAGAAGGTATTTCTTCCCACTAACTTTTCTTATCTCTCCGCAATATTTTCTTCCATTCAATCTGTAAGCAAACGTATATGAAGAATCCTATACGATTTACCCGATCATCTACCAATCCAAACAGATCGGCGCGACCAGATCGCGGCCTAACAAATCCGGCGCCCGACAAGCCCCGCACCGACAAACGGCGAAAGACCAAAGAGCACACAGTCAGACTCAGTGACCCTCCCTCACCCACCTTGCTCGTTGCGGGCGGTGAAGACGATGGCGCCGGTCTCGTCGCCGATGAGGCACTCCGCGATGCGCGGGGGGCGGGACGGGGCGGCGACGCCCGGCCGCGCGCGGCCCGGGACGGGGGTGGCGCTGACGACCTTGACGGTGAGGGTGTGGCCGCTGGTGACCGGCTTGAGCTGGTCGACCTTGGTGAACACCGGCTTCCTCAGCGCCGGCTTCTCGCCCGCGGCGGGGGTCGACATCGGCGGCGGTGGCGGAGGCGGGGATCGGGGTTTTAGCGGGGGCGGTGGTGGTGGTGGTTGGGGGAAACCCTAGCGCTGCGGCTTGGGAGTTGGGAGTGCGATGGTGGTGGTGGTGGTGATGGTGGCGTGGGGGTGGAGAAGACGAAGGGGTGGGTGGGTGGGTGGGTTCATGTAGGCTTGCAGGCGTAGCGGCCGTAGGGTTGATGGAATTGGGCTGGGCCTATTTTCCTGGAAGTTGAATGCTTTTTTGTTTTTAGAAAATAAGGAATAAGTTCACTTGTCATCCCTCAGCTTTACATGGCATCTCTAAACCGTAATGCTAGAGATCTTGGAACGCTTAACTTATAAAACCGGGTTAAATTAGGTACTCAAACAGTATATATAGCTGGGTTCGCTGATGTGGTAAGTTGACCCGGTTCACTCATGCTGACTAGGTGTTTACGTGGCAAGAAGAATAGGTCTCATCTGTCATCCTCACTCCGCTACCCTCTTCTCTTTCCCGCAAAAGCAGACGCCGAGACAGCACCGTTGACGGCAATGAGCTTGACCACTCTCGATCCTGATCGCCCACTTAGGCTAGAAAGTGCAACAACGACCTCCTCCTTCACCATTGCCGCCTCCTCTTCCTATCGCCACTACTATCCTTCTCCTCTGCCACCTCGAAGCTATGTAACTTTTAGAGACTACGCAGGAGGACGAGGATGGTGCAGGATATCAGTGCAACGACGGGAGGACGTTGAGAGGGCGCGGGATTGGCTCATGTTGTGCAAAGGTGACCCGAATAGAGACGATGGGACGTTGTTGATGGTGTAGGGGCGAAAAAGATCATGCGACATGGACCCATGGTGCAAATCCCCTTCGTCGGCGGAGAATGCAGGGAGGAGGTTGGGGAATAGCAGGGGATGGCAGCCAAGCAGGTTGAGTCCCCCCTGTACGTCGGTAGTGGAGATGGTAGCATGCGACGGGACCACTGAGCGCTAGATCCAAGCGCTAGGCAACGGTGACCAGGTGGGGAGAGGTCGGTGTGAGGAGCTTGGTGAAGCAAAAGGAAGGCGAGGTAGAGGAGGTCCCTGGACGACAGCCATGTGATCTGTCAAAAGGGAAGAAGCTGATGAAGGGCATTGACAACAGCGGTGGTCTCAGATCTATGCGGGTGCTAGAGACCCATGCGGAGTAGAAGGGATTGGGGGCGACAACAAGCTCGGCGTGCGGATGGCGAAACTCAGCCTCCCTCTAATGAAGGCCCATCGCAAGTTCGGATGGACTCGTCGGCCGCCTCCCCCTTACCCCTCTCCAGCTTCCGCCTCCCTTGCATGGAGCCTAGGCGAGCGAGCTCGGACAGCCGCCTCCCTTATCGTGAACCCACATCTAACATTTTTTTTCTAAAAAAAAAATCTTACTTGCATGTGGGTCCCCACATATTCCTTTTATTTTCTTCTTGCTAACTAACATGGCACGTCAGTGAAACCATCTATTCATATTGCTATGAGACCTAATTTAAACCGATTTTGTAAATTGGGGTTGTCAAGATTTCTAGTATTATGGTTCATGTATACCGATTAAACTCGATGTAAAGTTAAGGGATGACAAGTGGACTTATTTTAGAAAAAAAAAACCTTTCAGGTTCTATTGGGCCAGGCAGTGACTGGACCGGTGGGCTCGGCATAAAAGGCTCAAGCTAAGCCCAACAAGATTTTTTCCCTTTTTGGATACGCTCAAAAATCATATGCAAGACGTGACTTGTACAAAAGAGTCGGGTGATCATGTGATGTGTACATGGATGTCAATGCATGTCCTTTGTTTTTTTGCGCTAGGTGGAGATCCATATGAAATCCTCTCCCTAAACAGGAGAGATGCACAATATATTTATATTTGTTCATGAAAAGTCTAAATAGCCTTGCACTATTTCTCATCATCCCAACATTAGATTTCAAGTGTCTTCTCCAGATGATTCTTCTCTTCATATAGAACGCCGCTTGACTTCTCTGTCCCACTGTTTTTAACCGTTAAACGTGCATCCGGTGTTTATGATTGGTCGACTCAAATTTCTTAGGATTTCATTCGAACCATTAAGATATATAGAGCCAAGTCTAAAATCATCATGGTTACATTTGAAATCGAGAGAATCCATTATTCATTCACTTAATGATCAATCGATAAACACATACACTCATACAGTACTGATACACCGCAAAATACAAGGATTACGTTGACGACACGTACAGATAAAAAACCATACAAACCACACATGAACACAAGGAGAAACGAAACGAAACGACACGATACTGCATCATATCCATCTCAGCTCGCTCACGCGTACGTACACTACACATATATACTCGGCACGTTGCCCTTCTCCTCCTATCTCCGATGGACGTAGCTCCTCTCATATAAAGTCGAAGAGACGTGAATCCCTAACAGGTGAAGCTTACCGTCATGAATCCACACGTCGGTAGCACACCTCTTTCTGACGTACGCCCGAGGAGCCTCACCCAACTCCAATAATCCATCACTTGTACGGGACTGCGATCCTGTCCGGCCCCGATTTCATGTCCTCCCAGAGCAGATCCGACAGCGCCATCATCGTCTTCCCCACCTTCCCTGCATCAACATCACATCAATGGCATCAAAGAATAATCGATCGAATCAATGGTGGTCATCAGGTTGTCCATGGATGTGTGTAATGTGTCATATATACCGTCGCCGATGAGCTGGTCGTCCCACTCGACGATGGGCAGGACGGGGAGGCCGCTGCCGACGAACGCCATCTCGGCGGAGCAGCGCTTGGCCTCGTCGGCGGCGATGTGGCGGGTGGTGACGGCCTTGAGGAGGCCGGACTCCACCAGCCTCGGCGCCAGCGCGAGCAGCCGCTTGGCGGTGCACCCGGCGAGGATCTTGTCGAACGCCGGGAGCACCAGCTCGCCGGCGGCCGTGACGAACGCCACGTTCACCATGGGCCCCTCGGCGACGTTGCCCTCGCCGTCCACCCACACCGACGCGAACGCGCCGCGGTCCTCGGCGTCCATGATGGACAGCACGTTGGGGAGGTAGTTGACGTTCTTCATGGTGGCGAACAGCGGCGGCTTCATGGGCACCGACGTGGTCACCGCGCGCACGCCGTGGCGGCACTGGGAGTAGTCGGTCGGGATGACGACGGCGTAGAACGCCGGCCCGGCGCAGCCGGCGGAGGACAGGAGGAAGTCGCCGCCGCCGGCGCTGAGCCAGTAGCGGATGGACCCCCTCCGGCAGTTGGACGCCGCCGTCATCTGGACGAGGATGCTGCGGAGCGTGTCGCGCGGGAACGGGGTGCCGATGCGGGCCTTGGCGGCGGAGCGGAGGAAGCGGTCGAGGTGCGGGTCGAGCTCGTAGAGGTGGCCGTCGAGGATCATGGCGGTGTCGAACACGCCGTGGCCGCGGTGGACCATGTGGTCGTCGAGCGGGACGGACATCATCGCCGGGTCCAGGATGATGCCGCCGAGCACGCTCGAGTACATCGCCGGGAACGGCGCCGCCGTCGACTTCCATTTCTCCTGCAGCTTCTGGACGATCTGCACGAGTGAGGGAGAGACAATTGAATTGAAGGTTTTTGGATATCCTTTGGTACTGTAAAATCCATACAAAATTTTCTGTTTGAAAGATCAAACTCAAAAGTTCAAAGGTTTCAGCTGAGCAGATAAATTCATCAATAATTGATGGGCCGAGTTGAACCATTGGGTGTATGGGCCTCAATCGTTTTCTCCGATGCCGCTAAACGAAGGCCCTACTTATATTTTCTTTTTGAGAAATCATTATGTGGAAAAGTTATTTGTTCTTTCATTGAGTTTTTTAAAAATATTATCATTCGTCCATTTTCCAATAATTATATATTTGTACGGCATAACTTATACATCACACTAAAAAAAAATTAACTAAAAAACTATTAGGTGAGGCACCTGGTAACTTTAACTATAAAACTAGTGGTAGTACAGTACTAAGTAGTGTTCCTGCATGCATCAGGATTAATTTGTAGGATAGTGTTTGTCTACTCATCCCGCAATGATAGAGGAACAGAAAGCAACAAACCAAAAAAAAATGAATCCTCCAGACAAACTACACGTCAGTTCTCACTAAAAACCACTATAATTTGGTGCCCATTTCGTCCTTTTGTTCATCAGATTTTACTCCAATTGCGTATCAGACATCATCTCCGGCACACCAACCGGCCGGCGGTGTCCCGTTGTCAGTATGTGGGCTGTGACGAACAGGGGAGGATCGATGTGCCAAAGGCCAAAGCGTTGTAGTTGCCCAACGCTCAAATTCCCAAATTAATTAAAGATATATATCCAGGCACGAAATGCATGCATTGAAAAAAATCTTAAATCTCCCCTGAAAAATATGCGATTATATAATGTCCTCTCACTAATTCGATCTCCTAGATCTTTTTGGTCATCGGCTAGGAGGAATAAATTGAGGAGGAGATGATGAATGGAACTCACCTCTGCTCCAGATTCGTACACGGGAACCTCATCCTCGCCTGAAAAAGGAACAAGAACACAGGTGAACACGTACGAACACACAATCCATGCATGGCACATAGATGACCTGCAGCTAATCTAGCTAGCTCAACGGCAAGCAAAGCATCTCTCTTCTCTTTCTCACCTTGAACGTAGGAGCCCATGGCACGATCAGGGAAGAAGCTACACAGGCGATCGAGTACTTGGGGTGTGTCTTTGATTGCCGGGGGAGGAGAGGTGGGTGGGACTCATGCGGCTGCTTCGCCTTGGTGTTTATAGTGTAAGAGAGACCTTGCTACGCGTGCGTACTCCCTTCGTTCTAAAATAACTCAATCTAAATAAGAATATGACCCATTACAATGAACCTGGATAGAAAAGACGGGAGTACGCGCTCTCTCTCCCGTTGCAACGTGACGCGCGCGGTGGTACCATGGTAGACGGTGACAAGGAAAGGGGGAAAGCGAGGAGGAGGAGCGGGACAATTTTTAGCCGGCCCGGCCGGGCGGCGGACGGCCGGCACCCCGCGCGCGCTGCAGTGAGCCGTCCTGGGTCACACTGGGTTTGCCGTTTGCTGTGGACAGGATGAGGAGGATGGGAAACCGACTTGTCAGCGGCGCAGCCAGCAACGCGTGGCCAGCCCTATCTATCCCGGCCCCCATCTGACCATGAGATTTCCTTGTCTGCACTACAGGGTGGACTCAAATTAAAGGACTCTCTTTGCGTTTTGAAATATAAATATTTCTAGAATTTAAGTTTTAGACACAATTATAGATATTCTTTTAGACATGGTTATGATGCATGGGAACCCAAGCATTTTCAAGTCAACTTTACTCTCTCGTTTTCCATACGCACTGTTTGAAATGCTAAACGGTGTGTTCAAAAAAAAATTCTATGTAAAAGTTGCTAAACAAAAATCATATTAAGCTATTTTAAAGTTTTTTTAGATAATACTTAATTAATTAGATGCTAATGAAAAATTTCTTTTTTCGTGCACAGGGGATAGGTTCCCAACCTCTTCTCCCGAACACAGCGTAACATGCCATCAAAATTCAATCTAATTTTTTTTAATGAAAATATCTAATGGAATTTAAGAGATAAAAATATCCTCTCCTTAAGATATGGCCTAACTTAACCTTTTTAAAAACCAAACCACGTAAAAAAAAGGTTCAAACCTCTTTTCGTACTCCAACGTGCACCTCCTATCACACGCGAATCGGTGATTGGGAGCGAAGGCTACTCCTGACTTGACTTGTATAGAGCGAGATTCAAGGATAAGTGAATTGGCATTTTTGAATGAGTTTAAGGTGAAATACCATAAACTCTATGCAATCGCCAAGGCGTCAGAGGGAGAACTTGTGGTTGTCCCAGGGCAGTGTAGGTGATGACCAGAAGACCGCTGCTACTCCACTGCTGATTGTTGGTGAACCCTTTAGGATCAAGCCAACAACATCACCCATAACACTACTACAACTACTACACCAACACCGACAACGACAACTCAAGAGGTGCTTCGAGGGGCTTTTACAATCTCTACATCCACTCTGGCCATCAGTATCAAAAGAACAACTATTGCATTGATAGCTTCAAATAACAGTCAATTACTATAATATTTTGTATTGGGGTGATCATATTTAGGCTAAGCACTTAAGAAGATAGAAGATTAGAAATTCTACCATTAGCATATGTGTTTATATTGTGTTTTTTTTTAAAAATCAGACTGAAACTTGATAGGCAAAGAAAGATTAGAAAAGGACAAATGCAACCTGTGAATAGTGAAAGTATTGTTTTGATTTACCATTCTATAAATTTGGTGGCTAAAATGCAGGGGAGAGTTAACCCCACTCATGTAAAGCTTGCACAGATGCATGGTCCCGAGTGTGAACAACCGAACATCCCATGGCAAAGATTCCTCATGCGTTCGCCGTCAGCATGCATCACGCCATATCGAATTGGAGCACGACGAGGGCACATCAAAACACATGTATGTGTGGTGGTGGTGGCGCGCGGCATATACGTACGTTGTGCAGGGATGGAGCATTGGTAGGTGCTGCGGCGAAACGGATACGGTTTGTTGATACGAGTTGGATAGGGTTCAAACCTCATCCTCAGGTTTACACCAGTGTACATCTTATAGGCGTGGGGGTTGAGGGTGATATATATATATATATATATATGCGCCAGTATATGCTCTGTCTTCTCTCCATTTTACATTGTTGATTGAAATCGTAAATTAAAATTGTATGAATTGTAATTTTAGTAGCAATCTCGGAAAAGCCCTACAATCATACCTCAACATATATATTAGGGCTAAAAAAGAATGATTTTTAACTTTTTTTTGCCATATTATTATTCTGAAATGTTAAATGAGAAAACAGAGGAACCATTTCTTTTACACGCATGTCAGACAAATACTTGTTGGTATGCTTCTCTGCTTAGAGGTTTCAAACGATATTGATGGGCATGGCACTGATTTGGCTTTTGACGTTTTATGTGATTATAAGAGCTTCCCTTTGTTGCCAACACTTGACACACACACACACAAAATAGAGACACCACTATTTATCCCACAAAGGGACAATTTTTTTGAATGGACATAAAAAGTATTTTTCTGTACGAAACTCGATTTAGTATAATTTAAAACTTGCTTTTAAAGTTCAAACTTTTTTCTACACCGATTCCTATTGATAATATGTTACAATAAAATTGTCGCACATGATAAAAATCGTGATGTGGTAAGATACCGTAAAATGAACGGATTTTTGACAATGCATTACATTACTAAAATATCTTATATTTATAGGATGGATGTGTATTATATATTTATATTTAAAGAGACGGAGGCGAGTAGTAAATCCTCCTATCTCACTATTAAAAGCGCATTCACGTGTGCAACAAAGATCTAAACCATAATAGATAAAGTAATGTACCATGAATCCATCACCATAAGTTTTTTGTGCCTTTTTCCACTCAATGAATAATATTACTGTAGTAACTTACAATGTCACCTTCAAAAGTTCATTTATAAAAATTGGAATCTTGTTAGAAAATTTAACTATTACTTTAAATTACAATTCTCACAAATAAATAAAAATCTTCATGATCGGCAATGGACAACCCAACATTTGTCTGGTTCAGAAATTTGTAATCCCTGAACTACATATCCACGTGACATTTTGGAGCGGATGGGCATGAAATGAATCATGAAGAATGCTGCGAGCCATCCAGTTGTAAACTTGTAGTGGCGCGTTTCAAAATTGGCACGTGGGAAGGGATAACAAAGTTCCTTCTGACTCACTGGGCCGAAATCCAGGGCGGAGCCACACCCGGTTTGCACGGGCAGCCGTCCGGCTCGCCGTCAAACACATCATTAAAATTTTATTTTTTTCTAAAGGATTAAAATTAGAAACATTACAGCAAATATTAGATATATTTGAGTTTGCCTGGGCTCAGAAAGTTTTATAACTCCGCCGGCGAAATCTCTCATCGCAGCAACCGGTAATGGCCTCGGTAGGAGAACTGATTTTTTTTTTTTTGGAAAAAATACGAATTACCCTATCGAATTATTGAGGTCGACCGAATTACACTCCTGAACTCAAAAACTAGACATTCTACACCCTCAATTATTGAAACCGGACAAATAATCTCCCGACTCAATCCGGAGTGGTTTTGGGTCCACGTGACAGTCCAGTCAGCATTTTTTTAAAAAAAATCAGTGGACCCCACCTGTCAGTTCTCCATCCCTCTCTATTTCTCTCTGCTCTATCCCAATCTCTCCCTCTCTCTCTTCTTACCAACACGGCGGCGGCCGTGCGAGGGCGGGAGCAGGCAGAGCTGCGGAGGGCGGCGGGCGGCTTAGACGGCCACACACGCTTGCTCCTGCGTCGCCGCCGCCGCCGCCCTCCTCGACGGCGTCCTCGGTCGCTGTCACCGCCACCGAGTGCGGGTGCCTGGACGACGTGAACGGGTACGCGGTACAGTTCAACGCCGCCGCCAAGAACCTCCTCGAGTGGCTCAACGCGAAGCTCCCCGGCGCGAGCATTTCCCTCGCCGACTGCTACTCCATCGTCATGGAGCTCATCGAGCACCCGCAGAAGTACGGGCTCAAGTTAGTTACCGTGCAAGTAAACTAATCACATGCTTAACTAACAGCCACGGCAAGCGAGTCTTACGCCACTTCTCGCAGCATGCACAACGTTTAGATGCCATGCAAGACTCCACTCCTATTCTCTCGCGGCAGGAAATCACATCCTTGCTTTTGATCAGGACTGAAGAACTTCTTGCACTTTGCCATGTACTGACTTGACCTCACCACCGTGACTCACATGCAAGCTAGCTAATAGAAAATAAAATGCTGAGCACAAAGACTTAATCCAACATCGCACACGTCGTGTTGTGACGTGGACACGACGGTGGGCGGGCTGTGCCTGCCGATGGCGCAGCTCTGCGACGACCGCACGACGTTCGTGTTCTGGGACGCCTACCACACCTCCGACGCCACCAACCAGGTCATCGCCGACCGCCTCTACGCCGACATGGTGAGCGCTGGCGCGGTGCAGGGGAACGGGAACGTCACCACCGCCTCCAAAGCCTTGAAGTACAGACAACAGATCAATCGGCCGCTGTGCGCCGGCACAACGCCGTCGCCTATTCGGTACGACGGCGACGAGTAGGAGCGTGGCTGCGTGGTCTGGGCATGGACGTCCGAGGAGAGGAATTGGCGTCGCCGCCCCACCCGCAGCAGCCGCGTCGTCGGTTGATGAGGAGGAGGTCGGAGAGCACCTTCCGTCTCCGCCTCCACCACCGGCTGCCCGGGCGAACTCCGCCTCCCGCTACTGGCCGCCCGCCGCCCTCCGCCGCTCCCGTCCTCGCGAGGCGGCGCCATGCCGGTGAGGAGAGAGAGAGAGGGAGAGATTGGGATAGAGTAGAGAGAGATAGAGAGGGGTGGAGAACCGACATGTGGGGCCCATTGATTTTGTTTTAAAAAAAATTGCTGACTGGACTGCCACGTAGACTCAAAACCACTCTGGATTGAGTCGGGGGATTATTTGTCCGGTTTCAATAGTTGAGGGTGTAGAATGTCTGGTTTTCGAGTTTGGGGGTGTAATTCGGTCGACCTCGATAGTTCGGCGGGAGGGGGGCAATTCGTACTTTTTCCTTTTTTTTAATAAAAAGCTCACTTTGTAGCTGGATCAAGTTTTAATCACATCCCTTAACCGGTTGTTGAGTTTCAATCACGTCCCTCAATTGCAAAACTGGGTATAACACATCCTCATGTTACAAACCAGTGTAAACGAGATCCAAAGCTAGTATTGATCCCGTTTTCGGCTGACGTGGTTCGTTGATGCTGGTTGCTACCACCGACTGGTGAGAGATAGAGAGAACAGAAAAGAGAGAGGGTGAGGAAAATGAAAAATATGAGATTGCTATGATTGACATGTGGGGCTATTTTTTTTTCTTACTTACATGTGCGGAAAAGCTAGCTCTCGCGTGCGCGCTGCCAATGTGCGATTCGAGGAGTTAACGTACGAAGACGTAACTAACTAATTCGTTAAGGATAATTATAGAATTAAGAAAAGATTATATTTTTTTAGATTTGTTTTACTAACAGAACTTTCGACTTAAGATTTATAAACTTTGAAGTTAAAATTTGAAAACTTTCAACTCAAACTTTGAAAATTTTTAACTCGGAATTTAAATTTGTAAGATAAATTTTCAAAACTTTCAACTCAGATTTGAAAACTTTCAACCCGAGATTTGAAGACTTTCAACTCGAGATTGAAAACTTTAAAGATCATATTTTAAAATTTTAACTCGAGATTTGAAAACTTTCAACTCGAGATATGAAAACTTTCAACTCATATTTGAAAATTTTCAACTCGAGATTGAAAACTTTCAAGTCCATATTTGATAATTTTTAAGTTAAAATTTAAAAACTTTCAAGTCGAGATTTAAAAACTTTCAACCTAAACATTTGAAAACACGCGTGCTAATTATTAAAAAAAATAAAAAAAAAATCAAAAAGGAAAGCACGAAAAAAAGGAAAGTGAAAAAAAATAGTGAAAAAAGGTTGTTGCGCCAGCAACATTGTTGGCGCGCGCGCCAATTAGCAACGCCCTTACATGTGGGTCCCATAAATGCCACATAGGATGAAACCGCTATTCAAATAGTTAAGGGACTCGATGGTGTTTGCAAGAGCTGGTTCCCAACCCAAATAGTATGCACGGAAAACGGAGCAGCCCATTGGCACGTGATTAATTAAGTATTTGCTAATTTTTTTTAAAAAATGGATCAATATGATTTTTTAAGCAACTTTTGTATAGAAACTTTTTGTAAAAAACGTACCGTTTAGCAGTTTGAAAAACGTGCGCGCGAAAAATGAGACTAGGGAGTTGGGAACCACCTCTTGCAAACACAGCCTCAATTTGCTCCGGTGTTTGAAGATATGGGAGGTGTTATATCTAATACTGCGATGGAGGGAAGCAATATAATCGTGAGCAAGAGTTGAGGGACGAAAAGTAGACTTATCCCTTTCCGTGCATACCGAGATGTTTAAAAAAAAAGGAAAAAGTACAATGAAGGTCCCTCAACTTGTCATCAAGTTACAAAATCGTCCCCTAACCACAAAATCAAATATTCAGTGTCCCTTAACTAATCAAAACCGATCACAACAGGTCCCTCGGTGGTTTTGACACCGGTTTTGTCCTATGTGGTGATTGAGTCAGCGTGGGACCCACGTGGGCCCACATGTCAGGACGCCACGTTACTCTCCCTTCCTCCTCCTTCTCTCTCTCTTCTCTTCTCTGTTGGGAATCAAAGCAACTCACGCGAATACAGGCTACACTTTCTGAACGAGGCAGCGAGGAAGAAACACAAACACAGAAGCAAACACACAGGAACTTTGCGGCACCAAAACAACTTGTGCCCTTTTCACTGGTTTTTTTCTCTTTACTAAATGATTACAATGAGCAGTTATTTATAACACAGTACATACACACACGAAGCTGGTTGTTCCGCTTCTCAAGCCACACACGACGCCCACGTCCTGTTTACTTGGCCGCAACTTCACAAGTACTGAGTCTTCGCCGACGTTCGTTGCTTGAACCAACCAACTAACTTGCATGCATGCAAACTGACCACTTCCTACTCCTAATCTTGTGCAAGACTCGGCTAATCACTAGCCCACAATTATGCATGGCTAACTAACTAAGCTACATACATGTACTCTCATCTCCTGGCTCTTTATTGGCTCACTACTCACTGCCAACCACTACTCACTAAGCCATGCAGCACCCACGTACATATAGCTAGCTGTCCAGGCCATGCAACACACATATGCATATAGATAAACATGCTGAAATTAAGAAACAACAAGATTAATTTCTAACATTCTCTTCCGTTCTCTTTCTCTGGGAAGCCGGCCGGCGGCTGGGGAGAAGGCCGCCGGGGCGAGGGGGAAGAGGAGGGCGGCGCCGCGACGGCGGCCGGCGGCGGCGTCGACGCCGGCGATCACCACCACGGCTAAGGTTGTGTTCCAGGACAGCTCCATGGCGCAGTTCGTGGCGCCGGCTAGCACGGTGAGGGACGCGCGTCCTCGGCGTCGGTGTCTACCTGCTTCGTCTGCTGCTCCGACGAGCTCCGCCGCCGGCGCGCGCGATGGCGGTGCACGACGCGCTCCAGCTGGGCCAACTCTACTTCGTGCTGCCCGTCTCAGCGCTCCACCGGCCGCTCTCCGACCAGGACATGGCCGCGCTCGCCGTCAAGGCCATCGCGGCGCTCGGGGCTTCCGCCACCGCCGCCGGCGGCGGCGGCAACAGCAGCAGTATCAGCGTGTCGTCGCGGGGCAAGAACGCGAGCCCCGCCAGCAAGCAGTGGCAGCAGACGACGGCTCGAGTGGCGCCGATACGACGAGGATCAACGGAGGTAGCATTGCTCGCCAACGCGCAGGATTGCAGAGGTCGAGCGCCATCTCGGAAGGCGATGAGTGATCCAACTTATTAAATTGCTATATACAAGTTTGATCAAATATTAGTTGCTAAATGCTAATTAGCTCATCAATTTGTTAATTAGATGCTCCCACATTTGTAGATTGAGGAGTCCATACTGGCGGCGGTGGCGGAAGCACCGAGCGCCGCGATGGCCTTGACGGCGAGCGCGGCCATGTCCTGGTCGGAGAGCGGCCGGTGGAGCGCTGAGACGGGCAGCACGAAGTAGAGTTGGCCCAGCTGGAGCGCGTCGTGCACCGCCATCGCGCGCGCCGGCGCGTCGAAGCGGAGCTCGTCGGAGCAGCAGACGAAGCAGGTGGACGCCGACGCCGACGACGCGCGTCCCTCACCATGCTAGTCGGCGCCACGAACTGCGCCATGGAGCTGTCCTGGAACACAACCTTAGCCGTGGTGGTGATCGCTGGCGTCGACGCCGCCGCCGGCCGCCGTCGCGGCGCCGCCCTCCTCTTCCCCCTCGCCCCGGCGGCCTTCTCCCCAGCCGCCGGCCGGCTTGCCCAGAGAAAGAGAACGGAAGAGAAGAGAAGAGAAGAGAGAGAGAGAGAGAGGAGGAAGGGAGAGTAACGTGGCGTCCTGACATGTGGGTCCACATGGGTTTCACGCTGACTCAACCGTCACATAGGACAAAATCGGTGTCAAAACCACCGAGGAATCTGTTGTGACCGGTTTTGATTAGGTAAGGGACGCTGAATATCTGATTTTGTGGTTAGGGGATGATTTTGTAACTCGATGACAAGTTGAGGGACCTTCAGTGTACTTTTTCCAAAAAAAAATAAAAAATAAAAACTTTCCTATGAAAAATTAATGGGGGCCCAGGCGGAAATCTCCTTAGATGGGCCTTTTAATCGAGAGCAAAAAGATAGGTGTTGAAAATTTGGCACATCCTTTGTTTTTTCCCCTTTTCCTTGCCACTGCCTGTTAAAAAGTTTATACTGTAGAGTAGCACAAACTTATGAAATCTATGATTAGTCAGCTAGCCGTTGGGATCTCTAATTGTACTAGCCGTTGGGATCTGTTTTTGAATTTGAACTTCACATTTGAGCTTTCAGAAGGCCAAGCTCAAAATTAAACCCCATTTTACCGTCGCTGTTGGGGAATGGGGAGTAGTAGTAGTAACTGTAGCATTTCCTTTTGTTGCTGTGCCACGCCACCCAACCCAACCCAACCCAACCCACCACCGCGAGCACCAAATCCAATCCATAGCCAGATTGAATTCCCCGACGAGAAATCCGCCACAGCCGCCGCGTTGCGCCGGCGGCGATGGATCGCGGCGGCCGCCCGGGGTGGCTGCCGTCGCTGGGGTTCGCGTTCCTGAGCTTCAACTGCGGCATGGCGATCTACCGCTCCAGCAGCGACCCCTCCGCGGTGGCCTTCGTCGTCGTCGCCTACCTCGCGCTCATCGCGCTCTTCCGCTGCCTCCACCTGCTGGAGCGCGCCCCCGCGGGGGGGCAGGCCCGGGCGTCGATGAAGGCGGCGGTGTGGGGGCTCTCCACGCTCCTCACGCTCATGTTCTCCTACAAGGTCGCCGCCATCATGCCGCTCTGGGGCGCCGCGGGCGTCTGGGTGATGGGGCTCGGCACCATCGTCGCCGGCTTCTACGCCTTCTTCGTGCACCGCGAGGCCCCCTAGATGATGATGGCGATGGCGAACTTCTGTGAGATCGATGGTGCGTTCTTGAACCCTCACTCCTAGCTGGATCTCTGCTTTGCTTATACTTGACTAGTAGTAGATTATTTATTAGATCTGTTTGGAACGAAGACTCTTGACTTGACCCAACTAGATCTAGATTGAAATTGGACGATCAGTTGACTCGATGGAAGAATTTGATCTGGGAATTAGATGGGGGATTTGGAATTGGAACTATGGGAGATCGCTGTAGCTTTCAAGATACAGAACAAGGGGTTTCTGATTGGGAATGTAGTAATCGAGACCAGGAGCAGTAGCAATTAGTGAAAATCTCTCGTGCGAAAGTTGCGGCGTGGGGAATGGGGAAAGCTGTTCAGCATTAGAGAAGGGACTAATAAGAGCATGAGTTTTCAAAGCCATATGTGTGACAATAAGCTGAGAGCTGAGGCACCATGAATTTTCTAAGCCATACAAGTGTGAATATATATAGCTGAGACCTGAGAGCTGATGCTTTGGTGGGTCAGTACATGAGAGGGTGAGGAGAAAGAGATGTTTTGTCATATATGGAGTCAGGAACTGGTGCTAATTTGTTGCAGAGGGAGAGGAAGAGAAAAAGGTTTTGTGCATAGTAAAGCCGTGGAAGAATAGGGTGGCCCATCTGTTATGGTCAATAGTCTAGGATTTAATTATTGGGGTAAATAGGGAGTTGGAGAATGGAGAACTAGGAAATATCCAAATAGGAGCTTCAAACTCTTGAAGATATTTCCATTTGTTTGAACAGAGAAATATGCAGAATTGGTCTTTCCGAAATTTCCTAGTCCTTTTTCAAAAGATGTAACGCCAAAGAATCTTTGACTAGTATGGTCAAGGAGAAAGTTGAACATGTTTTCTTTTTCCTTGATGCATGTTTCTAGATCAAATATCCAAGGTTAAAGGTTGAAACTGTGCAGCCCACTCCTAACGTTCCTATCACTGAGCTTTTCTGAGACCATAATGTTTCACCCACATTTTGCTATCTTTTAATTGGTTGTTTATTTTGCCTAAGAAAGTATTATCCATCTCCTTCTCTAGCTTAATAGGCGAAATGCTATTTTCAAGTGATTTCATCATGATACTGAACTCAAACCTGTTGGGGAGCGTTTCTTTCTTTTGTTGAAATTCAAAACATTGAATTACATGGAAGGTATAACTGATTTCTCAAAGATGGTGTGAAAAACTCAAGTTCAGCTAGCTACATGTTTAGTATTATGCAGTTTCCACTTCTAAAAGATATCAAGAATACTAGCTGCACATCATTTTAGTACAAGGCTATGTATTAGGGCAAACTCTTGTACAACTATAGAAATAATCAATGAGACTAACGATTAGTATCGTACCGTTGTTTCCTGAGAAATATTGCTGGTGGACTTCTTTTTTTATGACAAATTTCGTATATCTTCTCCCTGTCATGTTGCAGGACCCTTGGTGCTGTTCAATTTTGCGTCAGCTATCAAACTGTAGCTCATATTCCCACTTGTAAATTCTAAAACCATTAGGTCTGCACTACCTACAATTTGTCCCATAAAGTTAAATAGTTAAAGTTTCATGTGCTAGACTTTTTTTGTAACACAAAAATCTTGGGCACCATGGGCAGAATGTATTGGAATGGTCAACTTTTATCAGAAAAAATAGAGGAAAATGATACACACCATGGATACTGTTGGAGTAAATGGCTTCAAAACAATATTTTTTTTAAACGTGGAGTAGCATCATAACACCAACACTGGCCTCTCGCCATGCACTGCCTTGCCATGTAAAACATTAGCAGTAGCCATTAATGAATTCCTGCATATTTCAGGGCCTGGAATGCGATGCACCCGTAGATGATGAAGCAAACTGTTCCTCTTGTTAAAATCCTTAGTAAACCTTATTGTGGTTTTTAAAGTTTGCCTTTCCATCCATGTAAATTTGGGCTTGAAAGTTTGATGATAACCACAACGATGTACTGCACCGGAGCACATTTGGTATGATGCATGATGGAGCTATGTATGCATGATTTTATCTTCTGTTGCGTGCAAGCTGCACACGCGAGTTTGTATTAAGTAGAAACTAGCTGGGTGACCTGCGCAATTGCGCGGCTAGCACCCATATAAAATTATCTATTTTCTATATTTGACATTACTAAAAATTTGTTAAATAGCCATTATGTTGTCTTATAACCTTGAAAGATCATCCTTAAATTTTTATAGTTTTTTATTTAAAAGTCACAGCAGTAGTTACCCCTTACTCTTTTATCACCCCATTATTTGTTTATTCGATCTATCACGACTTTTATTTATCTTCCTTTAAACCTTTAAAAATTACACCTTCTAGTTTTTAAGAGTCCATTGTCTCGTCGGGTTTCGTTATTAGAATTTTTAGGAGTGTTTCAAACGTCAATATTGTATTTCTCTATGATTCGCCTGTTATCTCCCATATTTATTGTTGTTGGGATTCTAAAAATTGAACATAACTATCGTTGGGGGTTCATCTTTTACTTTCTAGAAATCCGCCCAACCGTCACCGGCTTCACCATACTATACTTGTCATGGAGATTTTAAAAATCGAACATAATTGTTATTGTGATTTACTTTCTATTTTCTAGAAGTCCCACCAACCGTTGTGACCGTGCTGCTTAACAGCTTGTCTATCGTCCCTTCTCTTAATCATCATTGGGATTCTATTTGTGGTTTTGTTTATAGTTTTTAGATGTCGCATCAACTGCCACCAACTTACTCCTTTACGGGCCTAATATTTCTCTCCACTTTATTGTCATCTATCATAGTTGAGTTCTAGATGGACTTTTTTTTTTGAAATTCCATATTTTTCATTCCGATATTTTCTTATTCCTACTTGAACTCTTATAATTATTTTTTCTATTTTATGAAACTTATTTTATTTTTTATTTCAAATTTTCAGGATTCCCTTTTTTAATTTCTAGCAGTCCCGCCAACCGCTGCTGGCTCCATACCACTGCACTCCTGTATGGTCTACCCGTTGTCTCCCCTGTTTATTTTCATTGAGATTTTAAAAATAAAACATGATTGTTATTGCGATTTATTTTTACTTTATAAAAGTCATGCCAATCTATGCTGCTTAACGTCCTGTCTGTCGTCCTTGGGGTTTTATTTGTGGTTTTGTTTATAATTTTTAAATGTCCCATCAACCGTTTACCATCTTAATGTTTTATGGGTCTATTTTTAATGTTATTTGTCATCGTTGAGTTCTAGGTTGATTAATTATTTGAAAATTCCATATTTTTTATTCTGATTTTTTATTTATAAAGTGTATTCCTACTTGAACTCTTATAATTATTTTTCTATTTTCAGAATTTATTTTATTTTTATTCCGAATTTTAATTATTCTCGTATTCAGTTCTATATAAAGTGTATTCCTACTTAAACTCTTATAATTATTTTTCTATTTTAGGAATTTATTTTATTTTTATTTGGAATTTTAATTATTCTGTATTCAGTTCTATAAGGACTCTTATTCATATATTAATTATTTTTAATTCTGAATTTCAGTTATTTCTAAATTGTATTCCTACTTGAACTCTCGTTTTTCTTTTCTAATTTCAGAATTTATTTTATATTTAATTTTGAATTTTAGTTAATCTCGTATTCGGTTCTATATGGACTCTTTTTCCAATATTACTTATTTTTAATTTCGAATTTCAGATATTCCTAAATTGTATTCTACTTGAACTCTTTTTTTTCTTTTTTTCCGATTAATGTGGGAATTTCTAGCCTCCACTGGTGCTTTCTTTCAAAACTGTTTTAATAATATAATAGATAGATACTGTGACTTGTGAGACAATATTGCTAGTTTGTTAAGGAAGCTCATCCGTGACCGTGAGTTTGTAGGTATGGCAGAGAGAGAGAGAGGGGGGAGAGGGAGTGAGGGAGGGGGGGAGGGGGGGGAGAGGGAGTGAGGGAGAGAGAGAGAGAGGGAGAGAGAGATGTGCCGGTGTCGGACTTGGAGCTTGATGCGGCCATGGCGACTCATGCGGATGTCTCTAGCCGCTCGTCACCAGCGGTTGGGACCTCGCAGTGTCACCCGCCTCCTTCTCTGGCTCCGCATCACCAAGCCGCTCCTCGACCGCCACTTGTTGTCGCCGGAAACGCGCCGGAGCTCTGTTCCCCTCGTGCATCTGTGAGCCTCGCCATTTCCTCCTCCTTCGGCCAACGTTTCCTGTCACGCCACGTCTCCTCCCTCTCTTCCTAACTCCACCCGCACTTTCCAATGGACCCGCCAGTCCTCGGTCGCGCCTCGGCCTTCGTCGAGAGCTGCTGGAGCTCCGCCGCCTCCCTCGACGCCGTGCCCTTGGTGAGCTCCGCCGCCTCCCCGTCTGCCTCCTCTGCTTCCTCTCGCCGCCTCCCACGCTGTCTTCGCTCACCGTCGGCGTCGTCGCCGGTGATCTCTTGGGCCAGGTGGTTGCCGCCGGCCGCCTTGCGTGCGTGCCCGCGTGGTCGCGCCGCTCCGTCGCCCTTGTGGCCACCCGATTGGCTTGGGCCGATCTAGGCCGTCGGTTCCCGTGGACCGGCGGTGGATCGCCTTCGTGGTCCCGGTGCACGGTGAACCGATCACCTTGTGTCACTGACGTGTGGGCCCGCCTGTCGGCGCTGGGTCCTTTGATGACGTCAACAGCAACCTTTCCTTAGAGAAAATAACTAATAATTGCGCAATATATTGATTTTAATTCTAGAAATTTATTTAAATGACTCAAAACTTCTAAAATTCATAAATAATTCATACGAACTCCAAATTGGGCCATTCAACTTGCAAAATTCATCTAAAATTGAGCTCTACATGTTTGTTTACTCTTCATGTACAGTTTACTTGATTTTTATTAGAGTTTTCCTCGTTTTGCGTGCCAGCGCGTAGTTTCCGCTGTCTCGGAAGATCACGGTCGCGAGGAAAAGAGTTCGGAAGACCGTTTGAAGAAGCAAGGCAAGTCACACATTCCCTTTGAGCATGTTGAACCTAATTTACAAATGTTCTTCCTTTTGCAAATAAAATTGCATGTTTTGCTAATTACATGGGAATAGGGTTTACCTATCTTGTGCCATGTTTACTTGATATCCATCCTTTGTCAAACTTGGGTGATAATTTGACTAGCTCGTGTCACTAATGTTGATCTTGCTATAATCATGATATGTTTAGCCATGCTTAAACACCACTAGCTCACTTAATGGGAATAACTACATTAGCTACATTAGCATCTTGATGAGCTGTGTGCTCAAGACATATGGCCATGTTTTATTGGTCGTAATTGTCCAACTAAAATATGGCTTAATGGTGGGCTGCGGGTGCATGGTTTTGCTAGACGCACACATGGCAATTAAGGATCGGTTCGTGGCAAACCTTGGAAGACTTACCGCGTTTACCACAAGCAGGAATGGCTAACTGCTAGTTCAGGTGGTTTGGTTGGGCTTGTTTATAGAAATCATTTAATAAACCATTTCTAGTTATGGGAAGGGTCTTGTCACAATAACTCGCATGGTTCCGTGTCAGGCATGGCACGGTGACATACGGTGGATTGTGTCTTGTGGGTACAATTGTGCACCTCTCGCCAGAGTAAAACTATTCAAATAGCCGTGCCTGCAATTGTGGATGATCGACCAGATTCGCCGTGATTAGTACCACTTTATTAATAATCTGACATAATGAACTGGTGTAGTTCAGGTGGTTTAGTTGGGCCTGTTTCTAGAAATCATTTAATAAACCATTTCTAGAAATTATATTAAAGTTAAAACAATTTAATCAAGTGAATTAATAAGGGAATTAAAAATTCCCTTAAAAAATCATGGCTGGAAGTATTTTTGTAATATTCTATGTGCCCTAATATATTATCTGAAACTTCCCGTGAATTTTTGGAGCTCAAGAAGTAATTTTAATATAACAAACATCATTTCATCAATTAAGTAAAACGAAAAACAAATTAAAATTTTCCCCTTCACTTTAGGCCGCTTCTGGCCGAAAGTCCATCCGTCCTCCCTGGCTTGCTTCTCCCTTCCTCTCTTTCTCTCGGGCCGCCTCTCTCCACCTCCGTCCTCCCTCCTCCCTAGGCTGTCAGCCCATTTGCCTCCTCTTCCTTCCAAGTACACAATGCGTCCCTCCCCTTCCAAGAGTCGCCAACAAGTAGGGCCCACCTGTCAGGCTCTCCTTCAACCTCCAGCCGGTTGACCTGCCATGCCGCCCACTCCGCTACCGATTCCGCACCGCTCGTCCACCTCCTCTGCCCCGTGCTCTCGCCCCCGCCCATGGGACCGCGTCGCCCCACGTCCTCACTCTCCTCCCACACTCCCTCCGCGGAAATCGGCGCCGCAACTCCCCTATCCTCACGATGCCGCCTCCACTCCACCGGCCGTTGCCGCCTCGACCCGAGCTCCTCACCGCTTCCCGAGCCTATAAAATCCATCCCCGCACCTCCCTCTCTCATTTTCCTAAGTTGCTTGAGCTCCCCGTGTCCTCTCTCGTGCTGCTCACGCCGCTCCCCATCTCTTCTTCAAGCCAGTGAGCTCCGGTCACGTGCCACCGCCGACTCCGCCGTTGCGCGCCGCTCCTCAGCCACCACTTCTTCAGCACTGAAACCCAAAGAAACCCTGTCGCCACCACGAACCGCATTTGCCGTCTCCAGCAGCTCGTCGCTGGTGATTGGGACCACGATGGGTCACCCAGGCGCCCGTCCTCCTCCTCCACCCCATGCTCTCGCACCCGCTCGTGGGACCACGTCGCCCACGTCCCCTACTCCATCCGCGGAAAACAGCGCTGCAACTCCCCTCTCCCCACGACGCCACCCCACTCCACCGGCCGTTGCCGCCCTGACCCGAGCTCCAGCCGATTGGGACCACAACGATGGTTCACTGGCCCCGCCCTGCCTCGTCCACCTATTTTGGCCCGTGCTCTTGCACCCGCCCGTGGGATCGCGTAGCCCCATGTCCCCGCTCTCGTCCCCTACTCCATCCGCGGAAATTGCCGCCCCGACCCGAGCTCGTCGCCACCTCCCGAGCCTATAAAATCCATCACCAAACCTCCCTCTCTCATTTTCCCAAGTTGCCTGAGCCCCCTGCATCCTCTCCCGTGCTCCCCGTGCCGCTCCCCATTTCTGCCTCTCGCCGGTGAGCTCCGGCTGCGTGCCACCGCCACCCTAGCCGCCGTCGTCGCGCCGCCCCCACTGCCGGCTTCGCCGTTGCGCCCCGCTCCTTCGGCGCCAAAACTCACTGAAACCCTGTCGCCACCACGAACCTAAGGCCGCCACTGCATTTGCCGCCTCTAGCTGCTCGTAGCCGGCAATTGGGACCACGACGACGGGTCACCTGCCCGTGGGATCGCGTCGCCCCACTTCCCCGCTCTCTTCTCCCACTCTCTCCGCGGAAATCAGCGTTGCAACTCCTGTCATCCCACGCCATCGCCCCCTCTCCACCGGCCTTTGCCACCCCGACCCGAGCTCCTCGTCGTCTCCTGAGCCTATAAAATCCATCCCCACACCTCCCTCTCTCATTTTCCCAAGTTGCCTGAGCTCCCCACGTCTATCGTGCTCCCCACGCCGCTCCCCATCTCTGCCTCTCGCCGGTGAGCTCAGGTCGCGTGCCGTCGCCGTGCGGCACTCACCGCCGGCTTCGCCGTTGCGTGCCGCTCCTCGACCACCACTTCTTCGGCGCCGAAACCCACCGAAACCTTGTCACCACCACGAACCTGAGGCCGACACTGCATTTGCCGACTCTAGCCGCTTGTAGCCGGCGATTGGGACCACGACGACGGTTCACCAGCCCTGCCCTGTCCACCTATTCCGGCCCATGCTCTCGCACCCGTCCGTGGGACGGCATAGCCCCACGTCCCCTCTCTCCTCCCCACTCCATCCGCGGAAATTGCTACCCGACCTGAGCTCCTCGCCGCCTTCCGAGCCTATAAAATCTATCCCCGCACCTCTATCTCTCATTTTCCCAAGTTGCCTTAGCTCCCCACGTCCTCTCTAGTGCTTCCCGCGCCGGTCCCCATCTCTGCCTCTCGCCGGTGAGCTCTGGTCGCGTGCCGTCGCCGCCGCGCCGTCCTCACCGCCGGCTTCGTCGTTGCACGCCGTAGCTCGGCCTCCACTTCTTCGGCACCGAATCCCACCGAAACCCTGTCGCCACCACGAACCCAAGGCCTCCACCGTATTTGCCGTCTCCAGCTACTCGTTGCCGGTGGTTTGGACCACGATGGGTCACCCGCCTCGCCCCGTCCACCTCCTCCGCCCCACGCTCTCGCACCCGCCTGTGGGACCACATCGCCCCACGTCCCCGCTCACCTCCTCCACTCCCTTCGTGGTAATTGGAGCTGCACCTCCCCTCACACCACAATGCCGCCCCCACTCCACCGGCCTTTGTCGCCTCGACCCGAGCTCCTCGCCGTCTCCCGAGCCGTCTCTCGACCCGAGCCTTTGTCGCGTGCCGTCGCCGCCCTAGCCGCCGGTGAGCCGCCCCCATCTCCGCCTCTCGCTGGTTAGCTCCCATCATGTGCCGCCGCCGTGTCGCCCCCATTGCCGGCTTCGCCGTTGCGCGCCGCTTGTCGTCAGCGGTTGGGACCACGACGGGTCACCCGTCCCGCCCCGTCCACCTCCAACGCACTGCGCTCTCGCACCCGCCTGTGGGACTGCGTCGACCCACATCCTCACTCCTCTCCCCCACTCCCTCCGCGGAAATCGGCGCCACAACTCCTCTCTCCCTACGACACCACCCCCACTCCACTGGCCGTTGCCACCCCGACCTTAGCTCCTCGCTGCCTCCCGAGCCTGTAAAATCCATCCCCGCACCTCCCTTTCTCATTTTCCCAAGTTGCCTAAGCTCGCCACATCCTATACTGTGTTTCCCACACCGCTCCCCATCTCTGCCTCTCGCCGGTGAGATCTGGTCGCGTGCCGCCACCGTCCTATACACCACCACGCCGCCCCCACTGCTAGCTTCACCGTGGCGCGCCGCTCCTCGGCCACCACTTCGTCGGCACCGAAACCCGCCGAAACCTTGTTCCCACCACGAACCTGAGTCCGCCACCGCATTTGCCGTCTAAAGCCGCTCGTCGCCGGCGGTTGGGACCACGACGGGTCATCCGCCCCGCCCGGTCCACCTCATCCGCTCTGCACTCTCGCACCCGCCCATGGGACCGTGTCACCCCACGTCCCCGCTCTCCTCCCCCACTCCCTCTACGGAAATCTGCGCCGTAACTCCTCTCTCCCCATGACGTTGTCCCGACTCCACCGGCTGTTGCCACCCAACCCAAGCTCCTCGCTGCCTCCCGAGCCTATAAGATCCATCCCCGCACCTCCCTCTCTCATTTTCCTAAATTGCCTGAGCTCCCCACGTCCTCTCCCGTGCTCCCCATGCTGCTCCCTATCTCTGCCTCTCGCCGGTGAGCTTCGGTCGCGTGCCGACGCCGCCCTATCCGCCGCCGCGCCGCCTCCACTGCCGGCTTCGCCGTTGCGCGCCGCTCCTCGGCCACCACTTCTTCGGCATCGAAACCTGCCGAAACCCTATTGCCACCATGAACCTACGGCCGTCACCACATTTGCCGTCTCCAGCCGCTCGTCGCCGGCGGTTAGGACCACAACAGGTCACCCGCCCCTGCCCCGTCCACCTCCAACGCACCGCACTCTCGCACCCACCCATGGGACCGCGTCGACCCAGATTCTCGCTCTCCTCCCCCACTACCTCCGCGAAAATCGGCGCCGCAACTCCTCTCTCCCTACGACGATGCTCCCACTGTACCGGCCGTTGCCGACCCTACCCGAGCTCCTCACCGCCACCCGAGCCTGTAAAATCCATCCCCGCACCTCCCTCTCTCATTTTCCCAAATTGCCCGAGCTCCCCGCGTCCTTTCCCGTACTCCCCATGTCGCTCCCCATCTCTGCCTCTCGCCGGTGAGCGCCGGTTGCGAGCAGCCGCCGCCCCTAGCCACCGTCCTAGCTGCCGCCGCGCCGCCCCCATTGCCTGCTTCGCCGTTGCGCACCGCTCCTCGGCCGCCACTGCATTTGCCGTCTCCAGCCACTCATCGTCGGCGGTTTGGACCACGACGGGTCTCGGTCCACCTCCTCCGCCCCGCACTCTCGCACCCGCCCGTGGGACCGCTTCGCCCTACATCCCCCCTCTCCTCCCCCACTCCCTTCGCGGAAATCGGCGCGGTAACTGCACTCTCCCTACGACGCCGTCCCGACTCCACCTGTCATTGCCGTCCCGACCCGAGCTCCTCGTCGCCTCCCGAGCCTATAAAATCCATCCCCGCACCTCCCTCTCTCATTTGCCCAAATACCCTGAGCTCCCTGCGTCCTCTCCTGGGCTCCCCACGCCGCTCCTCATCTCTCCCTCTCGCCGGTGAGCTCCGGTCGCGTGCCTCGACCATGCCGCCCCAACTGTCGGCTTCGCCGTTGCACGCCGCTCCTCGTCCATCACTTCTTCAGCATCGAAACCTGCCGAAACCCTGTTGCCACCACGAACCTGACACCACCACCGCATTTGCGTCGCCGGCGGTTGGGACCATGACAGGTCACCCGCCCCCACCCCGTCCACCTCCAACGCACCGCGCTCTCGTCCTGTCCGTGGGACCGTGTCGACCCACATCCCCGCTCTTCCCTACTCTACCCGCGGGAATCGACGCCGCAACTCCTCTCTCCCCATGACACCGCCCCCACTCCTCTAGCCGTTGCCACCTCGACCCGAGCTCCTCGCCGCCTCCCGAGCCTGTAAATACCATCCCCGCACCTCCCTTTCTCATTTTGCCAAGTTGCCTGAGCTCCCCGCGTCCTCTACTGTGTTTCCCACGCCGCTCACCATCTCTGCTTCTCGCCGGTGGGCTCCAGTCGCGTGCCGCTGCCGCCCTAGACTCTGCTGCGCAGCCCCCCACCGCCGGCTTCGCTGTAGCGCGCCGCTCCTTAGCCATCACTACTTCGGCATCGAAACCCACCGAAACCCTGTTGCCACCACGAACCTGAGGCTGCCATCGCATTTGCTGTCTCCAGCCGCTCGTCGCCGTGCTCTCCATGACGGGTCACCCACCCCGCCCGGTCCACCTCCTCCGCTCTGCACACTCGCACCCACTGGTGGGTCCGCTTCGCCCCACGTCCCCGCGCTCCTCCCCTACTCCCTCCGTAGAAATCGGCGCGGTAATTGCCCTCTCCCCACGTCGCCGTCCTGACTCCACCGGCCGTTGTTGCCTTGACTCGGGCTCCTCCCCCCGCCACATGGCAGTTGGGCGAGGGCCTCGGGGCAAGGCAGCGCGAGGGACCGAGGGCCCGAGGGGCATGACGTGGCACCCCGAGGCCCACCGGCCGCTTCTGCGATTCGCGAGGTGCGGGGGTAGGGCCAGGCTGTAGGGCCATGTGGTTGGATGGGAAGGTAAGTTCCCCTCACTTTGCATACTCCTGGGCCTATATTTCCGACAGTAGCCCCCGGCACCACGTTGGACATTGGCCCCTTAAGGACAGTCTGACGTGGCTCCTCACAACTTCCCATGCCATGGTGGGGTTGATCCCGCCATTCTCCAGTTTCTTCCATGAGGTTTTGGATTTCTACGAGATCCATGCCTTGCATCTCGCACCCAACGCTGTAATGACGCTGGCCATCTTCTCGCACTTGTGCGAGATATTCGTCGGGGTGCGGCCGACGATGCGGCTGTTCTAGTTTTCGTCCCACAGCTGCAGTAGGGCGCGGCGGTGGGAGGATGCTACCTCCAGCCCCGGCCAGGGACGGCGGGGCAATACATTGAGAGCCATCTCAATGCGCACCCATGTGGGTGAGCGCTGGGATTGGGGCGAGGAGGACGTGAAGACAGTGATCCGGCGGGTGCTGGGCCTGGACACCGCCGAGCAAACGCTGATTCCAGACGGGATCCTCCCCCTTTACAGCGACCGCGACCAGTATCCTGGCTGTGATGTCGGCCGTCGATGCTGGCACGGGTCGTTCCCGCTGGAGCGGTGCCGGTGGTGGCGGCGACGGCGCGGGTAGCAGCTGGTCGACCGCAGGCGGCAGTCGGATCGGCGGCTCCGGTGGGGGCGGCGGCTCCAGGGCGCCCGGTCCGAGCTGTGGGCCCGGGGGGGACTCGGCCAGCGACCCGAAAGGGAAGCGAAAGGTGTCCGAATGTCGGCCACCTTCTCCCCCGAGCGAACGGCGGACCGACCACCGGCGGGCCACAAACGCCCTGCCGCGTCCGAGGTTGGACGGAAGAAGAAGCGGCTCCGAAAGATAGGGCAAACGGAGCCGTGCCGGGGGAGTTTCATCGAGCCCCCAAAGTGGACCTTCAAACGCCCCCCTCGTAGGTACGATCGCTAGCACTCGACTCGGTGCGCTCTATCCATAGTGGCCTCTTGTTCCTCCCCCCGTTTTCTTTTCTTTTTTTTTTAACGTGATTGGGGTTCTCCTTTAGCGGGATTCCTTCCCAGGGGGTATCGGCGTCCGATCCCTCGCAGGGGTCGAAATCCGAGCGATTGGATCGACTGGGACCCGGCCGACCAGGTGCCCTCGCTGTACCCTGGCAGGGCCCACGGGCCACACGCCGGGTCTGGCTCCGAATCTGCCAGAGCCGAGGTGCAACCGGCCGCGGGTAATGTCAGCGGCGGCGTCCCCCCTAGGGGGCGATCCTGAGGGCGCGACCCACGAGGAGCGCCACTCGGGAGTGGAGGCGGAAGCAGGTCGCGGTCCGGAGGCCGAGGCGGAAAGCGCACCGGGGGCCGAGGCAGGGCGCGGCCCGGAGGCCGAGGCTGGGGGCGGGCCTGAACCCGAGGCTGAGGCCAAGCCTGCCCGAGGGCCCGAGGCAGGGGCTGACGGGGGCAACCGTTCCCCTCTACATCTGGGGTGCCCTCGGGGCTGGCCACGCGGAAGGGGGCCGATAGCAGCCCCCAGTCCCGCGGGGGGTCCAGCAGCACTCTGGCATCCCGGGGGCGGTCCGCCACCTTTTCTTCTTCGACTCCCACGAGCATGGAGCCACTCCTGCAGGTGCTCGCCGCCTCCGACTCCACCGTCTGGGAGGGGCTCAACGCCCAAGTTCAAGCTCTGGCGGATGAGCGGGCGACCCTGGAGGCGGAGTGGGCGCAGCTCGTGGCGGACTGCGCGCGGGTTGACGAGGGGCGCCGCGCCGTGGACGACATGGTGGAGGTGGGGCGCAAAATGCGCCAAGCCCAACTGGCGGAGATCCAGGCGCGCGAAAAGACGCTGGACTCGGTCATGCGGGAGATGGAGGAGGAGCTGCAGGCGGCGCTCATCGCTTCGAGCGTCCTGGATGAGGCGCTGGGCGACATCCACTTGTAGTACGAGGCCCACGCCGAGGACCTGGTGAAGAGGGTCGAAGATGCCCGTGGAGTCCTCGACGCGGCTGCCGCCCAAAAGCGGCGGGCGTCTGAGGTCGACGCCTCGCTGCGTGCTCGGTCGGCAGCGCTCGAGGCCGAGCGCAAGACCTTAGACGAGCGCGCCCGCTCCGCGCAGGAGTTCGAGGCCATGATCCATCGACGGATCGAGGTCCTCGACCGCAACCAGCGCGAACAGGACGGGTGTAGTCGGGAATAGGCGCAGCGAGCCCGGGAGCTGGAGGAGCATGCTCGGGCGCTAGAGGAGCGTACCCGGGGACTAGTGCGAGACCACTTTGGCCGCCCACGAGAGAACGGCGGTCGAGGCGAAGTCCTCCCTTCCGAGCACAACCGGACCACCCTTGTCGCAGATGCTTTGGTGGCTCGTCGCGCGGAGGAGCTACGGCTTCTAGAGGAGGCGTGCCGGGGACGGGACGCCGCGAGGCCGAGGTGAATCGCTGCAAGGCGACGGCACGCCGACTGGGCGAGCAACTCACGAAGCGCGAGGAGGCCGTTGCCGGGCGCGAGGTGTCGTGCCCGGCATCTGGAAAGCGCCCGCGCAGAGCGCGCGGTGATGGCGGCGAGGGCTTCCGAGCTGGAGGCCCGGGAGAAGGAGCTGGCGGCAGGCGGGCAGCCCGCCGGCGCGGAGTTGGTGAGCTAGCTCACTGCGGCTCAAAGCACTCTCGCTGACCTGGGGCGCCTGGTGCAAGACCAAGCCGGGGAGATTGCAGCTCTCTGCCTTACTAACAAGATTGGACCTGGCCAACTCTCCGACGCCGTCGAACGGTTGGAGCGCGCGGGCCGCCGGGTAGGCATTTCCGTGCGCCGGGATAGGAAGCTCCCGCCCACACAGCCGGCACTCGCGCTCCGGCTAGATGGTCTGGCGGCAGATCTGGAGAGGCTGGAGGAGGAGGTCGGCGAGGCCGTGAAGTCGTTGTCGGCTTCTTTGGCGCGGGCTGCGGTGGAGCTGGTCCTCGCGAGTCATCAAGCTCGCGACCCCGACTTCCTCCTGTGGCGTGCGCTTGAGGACTTCCCCCCGGGAACCGAACAGAGGGCTCGGGAGCAAGTTCGGGAGGCGGCTGACGCGATCGTCTCCAGTTTCGAGGGGTCAGCCCCTCAGTTCAATCTCACGCTTGCCTCAGACGAGGAGAGCGGGAGCAAAGACGGTGGTGGTGATGATGGCGGCGAGGACTGGGACGATGTGGTCAGTGGCGCCGGACTCGGGGGCCCGGGCACTCCGTGACTATCCCCGCTTTTCTTCTTTTATTTTGTTATGTGCTCGCGGTGAACGCTTCTAACTTTAGGCCATCGCGCCATCTTGTTTGTAAATAAAGCTTCACCTTCGCACTTTTTACACTCTTGCTTTCTCCTTTGAATGCCTGCGGCAAGGAAAGAAGAAAAAACAAAAGCGAACGTATTCAGTTAACTTTCCTGTGATTGAGTCGCCATTCTTACCCCCTTTACACCCTCCTCGGGCTCGTTTCGGTGAAAAGAGAAAGCGCAAATCGTCCTTTGAACCAGGACGAGCCATAGGAAAGAGTAAGAAAAGGCGCACAACGGCCTCCGCTTAAGCGGAAAAGTTCATTGCTGGGTAAGAGAAAAGATACAAAATATTTAACATTGGTAGCCCCCGGCCAAGCCCGTACAAGCCGAGGGATGTGCGGGGGTTGGCCCGAGCTCCAGGAAAGCAAAAAATGCGCGACCCTATGGATAGAAACGACAGAGGTGTTCGATATTCCAGGGGTTAGGCAACTCCGTGCCGTCCTCCGTGGTTAGCCGAACGGAGCCCGGCCGGGGAACGCCGATCACTTTGTATGGCCCTTCCCACATTGGTGAGAGCTTGCTCAGCCCAAGCGCGACTGCACGCGGCGTAGGACGAGGTCGCCGACTTGTAGTGACCGGGCCCGGACGTGGCGCTGATGGTAGCGCCTCAGTCTTTGCTGGTAGCGCGCCGCTCGTAGGGCCGGGCGCCTTCTCCGCTCTTCCAAATAGTCGAGATCGTCACGGCGGAGATCATCCTGGTTGGCCTCATCGTACAGCGCGACGCGAGGCGAACCCAGGGAAAGCTCCAAAGGTAGGTCCGCCTCGGCGCCATACACCAGGAAAAAGGGAGTCTCCCCTGTGGTGTGACTTGGAGTGGTCTGATTTGCCCACAGCACGGCGGGCAGTTGCTCGAGCCACGAATCTCCGTGCTTCTTCAGGACGTTGTACGTCTTGGTCTTGAGGTCTTTGAGGATTTCGGCGTTGGCTCGCTTGACTTGGCCGTTGCTCTTGGGGTGGGCGGGTGAGGCGAAGCACAGCTTGATGCTCATGTCATCGCAATAGTCACCGAACAGCTCACTGGTGAACTGGGTGCCATTATCCGTAATGATACGGTTGGGCACCCCGAACCGGGACGTGATGCCCCTGATGAACTTGAGGGCAGAATGCTTGTCGATCTTGATGACCGGGTAAGCCTCGGGCCACTTGGTGAACTTGTCAATGGCGACGTACAGGTGCTGATACCCGCCTCAGGTCCGAGGATGTCTAGCCCCCAGACCGCGAAAGGCCAAGAGAGCGGAATGACATGTAAGGCTTGGGCCGGCTGGTGTGTTTGCTTGGCGTGGAACTGGCACGCCTTGCATCGCCGGACCCATTTTTGGGCGTCTTGCAACGCGGTCGGCCAGTAAAAACCTTGTCGGAAGGCTTTACCGACCAATGTGCGTGACGCCGAATGGGCCCCACACTCACCCTGATGAGCGTCGGCAATGAGCTCGACGCCTTGTTCCCGAGAAATACACTTCAAGAGTATCCCGTTGGCGGCACGCCGATAGAGGGTCCCTTCTACAAGCACGTACCGCTTAGAGACACGCGCAAGCTTCTCAGCTTCTGCGCGATCCTCAGGAAGAGTATTATTGTCGAGATACGCTCGGATGTCAGTCATCCAAACGACCTGACGAGGGGGGTCGGGGTTGACCCCATCGGGCCTCGAGGCCCGCGGGTCGTCAGGGGTCGGGGCGGAGGCTGTGGCGCCGGGGTCCCTCGGGGGGTCAAACCGCGCCGACGACTGCACAAGCCTTTCCTCGAAGGTCCTCGGAGGGAGTGGGGCTCGTGCTGATGCGATGCGCGACAACTCGTCAGCGACCGCGTTGTCGCGTCGGGGCACGTGCCGGAGCTCAAGTCCGTCGAAGTGGCGTTCCATGCGTCGCACCTCGCGGACGTATGCGTCCATTTGCGGATCGGTGCTTTGGTACTCCTTGGAGACCTGATTTACGAATAGCTGGTAATCGCCTAGGACTAGGAGGTGGCGGATGCCCATTTCGGCCGCCGCCCTTAATCCCGCTAGGAGTCCTTCGTATTCCGCCATGTTGTTTGTGGCTCGGAAATCGAGCCGAACGACGTACTTGAGGACATCCCCACTTGGCGAAGTCAGCGTGACTCCGGTCCTTGCACTTTGAATGTTGAGGGAGCCATCGAAATGCATAACCCAGTGCCCGGCGCGAATGTCAACGTTTGGGTCTCCTCCATCCCTAGGGAGGGAGGGAGCATTGGACGAAACAGGGTCGTCCACCGGGGTCCACTCCGCGATGAAGACAGCCAAGACTTTGCTTTTGATCGCGTGCCATGGTTCGAAGTGCAGGTCGAACTCAGCGAGCTCGATGGCCCACTTTACGACCCGACCGGTATCCTCTTGGTTGTGCAAGATTTGGCCGAGAGGGTAAGACGTCACGACGGAAACCCGATGCGCTTGGAAGTAGTGGTGCAATTTCCTTGAGGCCATTAAGACTGCGTAAAGCATCTTCTACGCCTGTGGGTATCGGGTTTTCGCGTCTCGGAGTGCCTCGCTGACAAAGTAGACGGGCTGCTGCACCTTTCGGTGGGGCCGGTCCTTGTTGTCAGGGGCAGCTGGGCCCAGGTCACCCGTGCTTAGGGGCCTCGGGGGGATCTTAGGCCATGTCGGGATTATAGTCCTCGGGGCCACCCGCTAGAGCCTCTCTTCCTCCCACGGGGGCCTCGGGGCCCTCCCGGGGGTTGGGGGCTTCGGGCACCGGGCCGTCGGGGGACGAGGGGCCATCGCCAGTCAAGGGAGCCCATGGTCCCTTCTCATAGCTGGGCTCGCAACGCGGGTCGTCCTCGTCGCGCTCAACTACAAGGGCGGCACTTACCGCGTGGGGGGTCGCGGCCAAGTAGAGCAGCAACGGTTCCTCTGGCCCCGGGGCTACTAGGATGGGGGAGGGGAGGTGAGGTAAGCTTTCAGCTGATTGAGAGCCTGCTCCGCTTCCTCCGTCCACACAAAAGGCTCGGGGCGTTTGAGGAGTTTGAATAGGGACAACGCCCTCTCTCCCAGCCTCGATATGAATCGACTCAGGGCGGCCATGCATCCCGTGATGCACTGCACATCCCTAAGTTTGCTGGGGGGCGCATCCTTTCTATTGCGCGTATTTTCTCGGGATTAGCTTCTATGCCTCGAGAGGAGACTAGAAAACCGAGGAGTTTGCCCGCCGGCACACCGAACACACACTTTTCGGGGTTCAATTTCATGCGCGTGGAACTAAGACTGTCGAAAGTCTCGGCCAAGTCCTGCAACAACGTGTCCTGGTGGCGCGTCTTTACCACCAGGTCATTGACATACGCCTCTACATTGCGCCCTATTTGATTACTCAAATTAATGCGAGTCATGCGCTGAAAAGTAGGAGCTGCGTTCTTGAGACCAAAAGGCATAGTTGTATAACAAAAGGTGCCTACAGGAGTAATGAAAGCAGTTTTTTCCTCATCTTCTCTAGCCATGCGGATCTGGTGATACCCAGAGTAGGCATCTAAAAAAGAAAAGAGATCGCACCCCGCAGTGGAGTCGACTATCTGATCTATGCGTGGTAAAGGGAAGGGATCCTTAGGGCATGCCTTGTTGAGGTCCGTGTAGTCGATGCACATCCGGAGCTTGCCGTTGGCCTTCGGGACGACCACTCTGGGTGGATGACTTCTCGGATGAAGCCGGCCTCTAGGAGCCGCGTCACCTCCTCTCGGATGAAGGCTTGCCGCTCCGGGGCTTGGCGCTGTACTTTTTGCCGGATGGGTCGCGCATCCGGCCGCACGGCGACGCGGTGCTCGATCACCTCCCTGGGACCCCGGGCATATCCGACAGCTTCCACGTGAAGACGTCGGAGTTCGCCCGCAGGAAGGAGATGAGCGCTCTTTCCTATTTGGCGTCCAAGGTACCGCCAAACTTGGCGGTCTTGGCGGTCTTGGACGGATCATCGCCAAGGGGAATCTCCTTGACGGGCACCTCGTCGGCCAAGGCGAGGCGCTTCTTGGAGACGCGGGACACGGAGGCCTCCGGGGCATGCGGCTCCGTGGCTACCGCCAGGTTGTCGGCACGCTGCTCCGCACAGGCGAGGGCGACCATGACATTGCCAAAGACGGTGATGGGGCCGCTAGGGCCCGGCATCTTCATCTGAAGGTTGGCGTAGTGGGTGGTGGCCATGAACTTCACCAACGCGGGCCTGTCCAGGACCGCGTTGTAGGGCAGATTGAGGTCCACCACATCGAAGTCGATCCGCTCGGTGCGTAAGTTGGTGGAGTCGCCAAAGGTCACCGGGAGCTCAACGTGACCCAGAGGCCACGTGTGTCCCGGGGTCACGCCGATGATCGGCAGTGACGGCTGGAGCTTCATCCCCAGGGCTTTGAGCGCGTCAAAAGCGACCGGGGATATGATGCTCAGGCTGGCCCCCCCCCCCCCCCGTCGACCAGGACACGCTTCATCTTGACGTTGTGGATGGTCGGGGAGACCATGAGGGCCAACTTCCCTTCCCGAGCGAGCACTGTCGGATGGTCGCTCTGGTCGAAGGTGAGCTTCACCTCTGACTAGCGCGCCTTCCGTGTCGCCTCGTGAGTTGGGATGGCAGCCAGAAGCTCACGCCTCATGGCCTTGAAGCCTCGGCGGGAGGTGTGAGGGCAAGCCCCCCCTGGTCGAGAGTGGCGACGGTTCCCTGAGGTATCTGGAATTCCAGATCCTCGCTGTCATCGCCGTCATCGGCGGGGGCCTTCTTCTTAGCCTCCCCTCGCCGGTCATTGGCGGGGGTCGCGGGGGCTTTGCCCTCCCGTCGACTCTGCCGCTTCTCCCCATCGGCTTTCCGAAACCGCTCGGCCAAGTTCTTGACCAAGCGGCAGTCGGCGAGGCTGTGCCGATAAGTGTTGTTCACCGAGCACCACTTGTCTGCTGACCGACCCTCACCGGAGGGAGCAGTGGAGCTCGGCTTATCGCCGGTGGCTTTTTCCTTGCACGGGGCCCTCACACGGGAGGGCCCATCGGCCACAAGGACGTGGCCCTCGTCATCGGAGCGGGCCGGCTTCCTTTTGCCCCTCCTATCTCGCCGCTTAGAGCGGGGAACGGACTCGGGGGCAGCCGCAGCCACCGCGCCAGTGCTGAGGGAGTTCCAGGCCCACGCCTCCTCCTTCCGAGCCACCTTGTCCGCCAGCTCGAAGAGCTCGGCGGTGGTCTTGGGCTCCTTGGAGGTGATCTTCTCTAGCATGCGGTTGTGCCGCACGCCATTCCGGAACGCATAAACGACCGCGTGGGTCGGAATGCACGGAATAGTGTTGCGGACCTGGCAGAAGCGCTGTATATACAAGCGGAAGGACTCATCGTCCTTCCACTGCACAGCATGCAGGTCCGCCTCTTCTCCTGGTCGGGAGTACGTGCCCTGTAAGTTCGTAATGAACTGCTACCACAGGTCCTCCCAGGAGTGGATGGAGTCGGGGGGCTGGGTCATGAGCCAGCCGCGCGTCTGACCCGTAAGAGCCATGCGGAAATAATTCGCCATGACCCAGTTGTCCCCCCCCTTCCGCCACGATGATCGTGGTATAGATCTGGAGGAACTCGGAGGGATTGATGCTGCCATCATACTTCTTCGTGAGGTTGGGGCGAAACTTCGGGGGCCACCGGACATTCCGGAGACTCGCAACGAAGGCCCTACAACCAGTCCTTTCAGGGGTGAACGTGGGGGACGGGCTGCCTCGCGAGGAGGAACGCGACACTCCAGATGAGGAGGCGCCTTCTCCCATGCGAGCAACACAGCGCTCGTCCCGGCGTCGCTCGATGTTGATTCGAGCGTCCTGCTCCCCGTAGAGGCCATCGTGATGCCTCTGACTTCCCGAGGCCCCCGACGATGTTGGGGCCGTGGATCACCTCGAGGCCGTGGCCGACCGACAGGCCCTTCTCCTTGCTGATGAGGAGAGGATGGTGGGGGTACGCGACGTACCAGTGGCGGTGGGCCGACCGCCCGCTGCCAGCTGCCGCTGGGCAGTGGTGACCAAGTTGGCCACGTCGTCCAACCATCGCTGGACGGGGGTCTCCGGCTCCGAGTTCACAGGGGGATGCCGTAGAAGGGCACCCGCCGCCTGGAGCGCGCCTCGGGGCGAGCTGCCGTCGCCGTAAGTGAGGCGGCGTCACGCCCCGACGCGACGCGGCTTTTCCCCGCCCGGGGGCGGGGAGAGGGCCGAACCACCCGACCGGGTGGGATCCTCCCTCTGCGAGGGGTCGCGGTGGGGTGGAGTCAGAGAATTGCGGCGACGGTGACGGGGGCCGCGACTCCCGCTCGCATCCTCACTCCCAGACGGAGTGGGCGTGTGCACCACCGCCTCTTCCTCCAATACCTCGACCATGATCGTCGAGGGCGGAGGGAAACTTGGGGCGGAAGGAAACGACTTCTCCTTGAAACGTGCCAATTCCCCCTACATGGCGCGCCAGCTGTCGAGGAGTAATCTTCTCTAGCGGGAGATCGTGAGATCCCCCTTTTTGTGAGTTCGGCCGGGGGAAAAGGCTCGCTTGGGGAGATCGCGTATCCGCCCTGAACGCTCCTAAATCGCGTGTGGGCACCAAGATTATACAGGTTTGGGTCGCTATGGAGCGTAATACCCTACTCCTGTGTGTGAGATTATGGCTGAGTGTTACAAGGGTTCCTAAACTCCGGAGAGCATTCCCGCTTCTCTTCTCCTAGAGTTCAGGCTTACTGAGAGTCGTCCCTTTTCTCAGTGGGCAAGGTCCTCCTTTTATAATTCAAGGGGATACCACATGCACTGCCTCTACCTACTCTTCTACGGGATGGGGACCTCTGTGCCTTCGCCCGGAAGCTAAGCCGCGGTCCTTCCTTCTGTGGGACCCAGCGCCGCCCCCCACCTAACACGGGGGACGGCCCTGTCATTCGCCCTTAAATGGGCGGAGACCTTTGGCCGTCCTCCTCACATCGGGAGAACTCCGGATGACGCTCCGATGTGACAGGACATACCTACCTCCACTCCGCCGGAGACAGAGGCGACGTGGGGGCACGGCCGCCCGTCTAGTCAGACGTGACGTGACCGGCGACAGGCCGGTCACAGACTAGTCAGTCCTGACTGACGTAGACTAGTCAGTCCTGACTGACGTGCGTCAGTCGGGCGGCACCGCACGTCTGCCCTTACCGCATTAAATGCGGTGAGGGGCAGTTGGGGCGCCGCGCGCATTGATAGCGGTTCAGCCTGGGCCCCCTCCCCGCTCGCTCCCCCCGCCACATGGCAGTTGGGCGAGGCCCTCGGGGCAAGGCAGCGCGAGGGCCCGACGGGCATGACGTGGCACCCCGAGGCCCCCCAGGCACTTCTGCGATTCGCGAGGTGCGGGGGTAGGGCCAGGTTGTAGGGCCACGTGGCTGGATGGGAAGGTAAATTCTCCTCACTTTAATTTGCATACCCCCGGGCCCATATCTCCGACAGATGCCCTCCTGGTGCTTCGAGAAGCCACCCCTGACTGCCGAGTTCCTTACGACAATCCATCATGACCATCCAACCGGGGCTAAATTCGGAGGAGTACCATCCCTAGGAAATTAACTTAGGGCTATATAAACGTGCGGAGGAATACCCGTACTGAGCTGTCACCATCAGCGGCCCACCTCGCTTCCGCAACATATAACCCCAAATAATGATATCCAGCAATCTAAATATCATGCTTAAATTAGCAAATACTACTCTAATATCATCGTCATGACATAGTCATCGTAAATACGATCATTATACCCACACCATTGCATCTCCCAGATAAGCTAGCATCATAATGAATATAACTTGGATATATAATAAAGTTGGTATTCATATACTTGGAAAGTAGTACAATACCAAAGTAGTATAAAGAAGAATATTCTAAATAAACTACAAGTCTTACAGAAGAAGGAAAAGCTACTAGAGCCATACCCGAATTCTTCCGAAGACTCCGAGGACTGAAGATTCTATTCTATTTATATTCCACTATACTCTAAAGACTATACTAAACTTGAGAGATGAATGAAAGATGAATGAAACTTCTTGCTTAAGGTGTGTGGAAGAAGTGAGGAGGTGAAGGCCTTTTATAGCTCTCCAATGACGGTTATGACGGTTGGAATGGTCAGAATTGCTCTCCCACCGTCATTGGGGAGTAATCTAAGTCGTCCAGAAGAAGCCCTGCATCCAACAGCGCCACAGCAGGTTCGGCCGAACCATGGGCTGGGCCGGCCTGGCCCAAATTCGGCAGGTGTCCTCTTTTGCTCCTCTCTGCAGACTTGTGAATTTTGGCCCAATTGGTCGTGTCATTTCTGAGTTCTTGGCCCCTAGATAAATCTGATTCTCGACATCATCTGATTGATTGATCGTCTATTTTGATGTCGATTCTCCTCCATTTTATGTTCATTCTCTACAAGAGGTTAGTAATCCTAGTGCTAGTGGAATATTTATTAATTAAACATAAATATGCATTGCAAGCATAACTAATCCTCTTTTATTTGCATAGTATTAACGGGCGAAACTGATCGCTAACGACCGTCAACAACGGGCGAGCGCCGAGATCGGGGAATCAAAACCTCTCCCCGGCCGCTGCTCGAGGGTGAGTGCACCACCGTCGAGTGGCCGTGGACTTCCCACACGGAGTCGACAACGACCGGTGGTGGTGTGCACGCACCGACGAGGGGGTGTGGACTTCCCACACAGTGTCGGCGACGACCGGCGGTGGCAGAGGTAAGCTATTTCGTTTTTTTTTCAATCTTGTGCTTTTCTTCGGGGATCCGAGACCCTCTTGCTTTCTTCTTCCTAGTCCACCTAGATCTACTCCTAGGTCTAGCTCTGGGACCAATGTTAGAATCCTAGGAACCAGCGTCGGACTTGGAGCTTGATGCGGCATGGCGACGGTGCAGTGGAGTGGTGTGGCGGCCTGTAGATGCTCCCGATGGTGTAGGTGTAGATGACGGCGGCGGCGGCGGTGAGACCGTGAGGAATCCCCTGACTTCAACGCCTTCCCGGATCGGAGGGACTCTGGGGTTTGTGGGGAGCGTGTGTGCATGGGAAACCTAGGTATTATCTTTTTTTTTCAAAAATGGATTTAATTTATTTTTTAAAGCAACTTTCGTATATAAACTTTTTAAAAAACACACCATTTAGCGGTTTGAAAAGCGTATGCGCGGAAAACGAGGGAGGGGTTAGGAAAAGGGGACATCCGAACACACCCTAGTTCGCAGCCAGACCTGTGGTGGATTCAATTCAATAAAATCTGTTACCGATATACTAGGTTTTAAGTATTAGTCCAAGGATGATAATGTACTTATTTTCTTATTTAAAAAGTCTATTTTACTCCCCAAACAATTTCATCGGAGCACTTAACCCCTTAATTTTTTTTGCTCATTTTACACACCTTTAACTATTGAAAACGATTCACTTTACTCTAATGCTATTTCTCTTTTTTTCTCTCCATATAAATCATATTTTGCACTGAAATTTTGGAAGAATGATAGATGCATTATAGTTGGCGTCTCAACATTTTTTTTCAGATGTTTCCTCACTGTTTACATGGGTTGGAAATACTTAAAAACTTATTTAAACATCAAGATTTTAAAGTTCAAGCAAATATTTATGAAAAAAATTAAAAATATTTTTAAACACATGTAATGGTGCCATCTAGGAGTATGACTAAAAAGTTTCAGCCTAGAATATAACTTGTATAAAGCGTAACATAAAAAAAATATTATTAAGGAATAAAGTGAATCATTTTCAATAGTTTGAGGTAAAATTAGAAAAAAGTTTAAGGGATTAAGTGATCTAATCTAATCAATTAGTTTGAGTAAAATAGACTTCTTTCTTTTCTTAGCTACTCCTTAGTTTTAGAATTAAAACAACAATAAAATTGAAGGAACTCTATGCACCTAAAGATAAAAACAATGCGCGTACATTGTATGATTGCTTAAATTATTCTGTGTATTTAGAAGTACCACCATGGATTTATCCATGATGTAGATACTTACGATAGAGCAAGGGCCGTTGACAACAGAGAGGACGACAAAAAATATATGTTCTGGATGATAGGGATTAATAGTTTTTATCTAAGACTAAGAAGATGACTTTAGTGTTAACTATAGTCAGCAAGAGCGGTAGTTGGCGATGTAAACCACCAAATAATTAATGAAATATCTCTGCACGAAGAAATAATGCTCAACCACTCCACATTCTGTCTCTCATATATATAATCTTCTGGTTTATGTGTTGACTTATGTAGAATAAGGAAATCCATCAATGTCTTAAGTACACTTATAGATTGTCTATAGATACGCAACGCATCAGAATTAGGGTGCATGGGGTGTCAACTATCATTCCATCTTATGTACACATCTTATGTACACGTCTAAAATGGAAGTATGTGAGCGATGTTTCAAAGTTTCCTTGTTTTAATTGGAGGTGACAACGTATCTATCGCATAAGCATGAGATGTACGTTGTTGAGTTATAGACTTATGCCAACTACTACTATTCAATAAATTGATTAACCTTCTACACGTTAGCTTGTACAACATTTATTTCATATTAGTCGTAATAATTTTTTTTAATCATACTTCTTTAAGTTTGATTAAATTTACAACATTTACAACATCAAATTAGTATCATTAAAACTAATATATTTATTTTGTATTTAAAATATTACTATGTTTTTCTATTAATTAAACTTAGATTTTTTTTAAAAAAATGAAAGTGACTTATAATATGAAACGGAAAGAGTAATTAATTAGAGCTAGCATGTGAAAGTAAAAATCCGGTTGTTTTTTTGAGAGAAAAAAAACCATTTGTTATCGCGGGAAATTTTATGGTCTTCAGGAGCTGAGGTACCAATTTTTTTAAAAAAACTTTGTGGTACTTATTACCGAAGCTAATGTACAGTAACAAATTTTATACTCCCTCTGTTTCGAAATATTTGACATCATTGACTTTTTAGTACGTGTTTGACCATTCGTCTTATTAAAAAATTTAAGTAATTATTTATTCTTTTCATATCATTTGATTTATTGTTAAATATACTTTCATGTACACATATAGTTTTACATATTTCACAATTTTTTCAATAAGACGAACGGTCAAACATGTGCTAAAAAGTCAACGGCATCAAACATTTTGAAACGGAGAGAGTAGTACTTAAAAAGTCGGTAGCTCAATCAAAGACAGTATTTTTTTTTATTTTTTATTATAAAAAGATGGCAAAAGCTTTTGCCTCGTATCTACTAGTAGAGCAGGAAGCATAGTGAAAAAAAACTTTATAGGGTCAAGCCAGAAAAGCAAGCACCCGCAAAAGGAAAAGGACTACAGAGTATATCCCAAAACATCAAGTTCCTTTATTTTTATCGCCCGCTTTTACCCAAGACACTGACTCTTTCTTACTCTTAGCGATAATGGTGATAGGTGTGGTGGCGACGTGCCGAAAAGTCCTTGCATTTCGTTTGCACCACAACTCTCAAACAATCAAGATGACACGCGATTACTTTTAGGGGCTTTCTTGGATTTCCGGGTACTTGAGGTAGTCGTTGTTACCATTAATTCCTCCACTTATGTGCATGCGTCCTACTCTAATATCGTAAGTCGAGATTCACCCAACCTAGTATCTCTATCTAGATTCTTCTCGAGAGTCTATATTTCGCTAGGATGTGTAACACTATTTCTAGAATAGTACTATGCATAGTTGATATTTTTGTTGATTCAGCCACCCTTTTCTTTGTAATCTGTCTGTTGTCGAGACACGATGTTAGATAAATAGAGCCATGTGAAGAACTTGTATTTAGGCTGAGCGGCTCAACATCTCCAGATCACGCCAAGGAATTGTAGGCAGTATACTGACTTTGTCGTGTAGCTTAGTGCTCTGGCCTGCTAGATCATGGACCACAGCTTGAGAAATTGTTGAAGGTGGTCTGTTGCCGTGATTAGCATTGGAAGATAAGGCTTCATGTACGAATCTATCTTTTTTTTTTCTTGAGACCACAAAAATTATCGATGAGATCATTTTTGGCATCTTATATTTTCTAGCCAACGTGGGGTTGGTCTACTGGGCACGTGTTCGCCGCCCACGAACACATCCCAACAGCCCATGGACCAGTTATCCTTCCCTCCACATCTTATCCGTGTGTTTCTCTCTATCTTATCTTGTCGTTCCTATCCAACCATTCGTGCGTGCGAGTGAGAGGAGTGAGACGGCTACGCCGGCCGCCTCTCTCCAGCTACGACAACGGCAACGCTGCCTCCCTCCAGCAACGGCCTTCCAACAAGGTCGCTCCAGTTTCCTCCGGCAAGCCTCTCCTCCTCCCTCCGGCGAGCCCCCTCCAGCTTCAGCCGTCATCGCCCGACCTCGCCGGCCTCGTTGGTGCCGGAAGGCGTCAACATGCTAGCGTGGCCCAGCTCGGCCGGCCACCTCCTGCCCCCTTTCGTCTCACTATGCCCCCGCTACCAACACCGGCCCATCACCAGCTACCAACCCCGCGGCGCCACCACCGCCTCGCCGCCTGCCCTTGTCCGCCGCCCACCGCTGGTCCGCCGTCTTTCAGGGCATCCCTCTAAACCTGATCCCCTCTTCCTCCTCCCCAGCGCCACCCTCGTCCCTCGCCCCACCCAACCCCTGAAACTCTAACCCTAACCCCTAATGTTAGGGACCCGTTCGCAAGATGCCTATCTCGCGCACGTTCGCGCGTTAGCCTTTCAGGCCAACGTGAATGCCAGAAACTAGCAGCTGTCCCATCTCCTAGCATCATGGTTGTAACCGTTGCAAAAATCACTCTTTTTTTTTTTGAGAAAATAAAAATGTTTGACATCGCGCTCTCATCGTTGCCTAGCCGTTAGGCGTGAAAACTCTCAGATAGTAAAAGGTTTGAAAATGTTTACGGTCCAATGCATTTTCTTCAAACAAAACATCTGTGATCGACTTTTTGTGGAATTATCACTACACATGGCCTTGAAACTCTTGACAGATGCAGCTACGACTCCTAATCCAACCATGCATATCCCAAAGATCGAGTCATAACCCAGAACAGTTGTATAATATATATTCTCTATGTGCTGTGTGTCGTTTTCGCCGATCATATCTGGTATACTACAAAATTGGAACCAAAATACTCCGTTTCAAAATATTTGACACCGTTGACTTTTTAGCACATATTTGACCATTCGTCTTATTCAAAATTTTTTGTGAAATATGTAAAATTATATATGTGCATAAAAATATATTTAACAATGAATCAAATGATATGAAAAGAATAAATAATTACTTAAACTTTTTAAATAAGACAAATGGTCAAACATGTATTAAACAGTCAACGGTTTCAAATATTTTGAAACGGGGGGAGTATATAGTTAATCGCAACATGGACGAGTTCTGTACGTACGTATACTAATTAAATTGGGCGGTCAAGCTGGGTGGCGTATGCGCAGCCGACGAAATTAACGCGACAAGTGGGGAGAAGTTACATGCACATGCACACGCAGCACGCCGGTCGTTTCCGGCCGGTGACCATCAAACCATGCGAATGGTGTGGACGCATATTCGTTGGTGCATCTGCATACGTACGCATGCATGCCTATTCTTCTGGAGATTATATATCCAAGCTAGACGACGACCTGCAGCCGGCCGGCCGGTGCAAACGTACTCCTGCGTACGAGAGATGGTTGGTTAATTAGTAATTTGCTAGATTTTCTTGGCGACGACTCTCTGCGTGAGATCAGAGGAGCAATATGCGCGGACTCGATCGGCAACCATATGACGGCCTCCTCTCGTCCCGCACGACGACGCACGCGCGCGACCCCTTGCTTATGGTAAACTCGATCTATGGCCTATTTAGAAAGTTAGATTTGAGAAGTAGCCGATGGGAATTCAGCCGGTGAGAATCTGAAAAAAATCTAGTTCTAACTTTTTTAATCATTTTTCTAGATTATGCACCTAGAGCTTCTAGGAACCTAAATGAAAAGGCTAGATGTACTGTCTAGAGCATTATACTACCAGTAGAAATAATCCCAACCCTTTGTTATTAAATACTAGAAAAATGTCCGTGCGTTGTAACGAGTGAATAATATTTTAATCTATAAAATTTACTGTGGTAATTCGCTTGGATTTTTTTTTTACAAAATCATGAGCTACAATTAAGAGTCCGACTTTCATCTCAAGTTAGCATGCGGAGTTTTTTTAAAAATGATTTCTTTTACAACTCTTTTTGTATTTCCAAAAGCAAACGAGCTTAAAATCCAACTCAAACATGAATATGTATTTTCAAAAGCGAACGATCTCAAAAACCAACTCAAACACGGATGACATACCAAAATTCTGGTAAAAACACCTTCAATTTTTATAATAGTAGAGATTAAGAGCAAATTAGTGATGTAGTACTAATATTAGGGGTAACTTTGTTGTTTATTTTTTTTACCATCTCGGTCGGAATGTAGGTTTGTAGTCTCTGTCATCGAGCCCATGGTCCCTTGCATCGCTCATCCATCGGAAAAGCAAAAAGGAAAATGCGTCGGTCGCTTGAGCATCGCGCTCGTCCTCCCGCCGGCGTCGCGTGTGGATCGGGAGTCCTCCCAACGACGGTGAACACTCCAGCCCCTCTCTGTGCGTTCATCTATTTGTGTTGTGTAGTATCAGGAACCAATAATTTGAATCTGTCAGTTATCGGGCTCAGTGTTGTCTTAGTTTATCTGCTCTTGAGCCAGGAGATAAACCATTAATCTTTCAGGTGATTTTTTTCTCTCTGGGTCAGTGTTGTCTCAAGTTTTTTTTTTTTAATGATCATTCTCTAGCAAAGTCTGACCGGTAAGTCCTCAAAATTCACTTCCAAACCGTGTACAGTGGAGTACTGTCAATTTCAGACACCAAACAGTAGCTCAAACACTTTGGTACACAACTACTGGTTCAGGGTATTTGGTTTTGAGGGGAGGTTTAGCGTCGGTGGTGTTGGGTGCGAACGGGGGAGCGGCGCGTTCGTGTTTGGGCAATGATGTCGAACGACTAAGAGAAGAGCTGCTAGGTTTAGTCATTGATAAGTGACTCTTATATCCCTCACGGGATAAAAATGTTTCTCCACGTTTCTACTTCCGCAAGCTGTGGTGGTAGTAGAAATAAATCTGAACCTTTCGATTAAATGATATCAACGATTCAGATTGCTTTCTACTATATAAGTAAAGAGTACTACGATCTCTTTGATTTTAGAAGAAGGTATAACCGCCATAAACTCACTAGATTAACTTGCCGTTAATGGGAACTGTTATTTAGCAAATGGGTGACCCTTAATATAAAAATAGTAATGCCAGAGATATTTGAGAGATAATTAAGACTCATTTAATACAATCTTCATTTGTAAAAAGAGTAAGTAAAGGAGTTAAAAATAATTTTTTTAAAGGGAAAATAAACTCTTCACGTGACGGAAGGAGGACGTAAAAAATGGGACTACCACCCTCTCGAGAGGAGGCGTAAAGTCGTTCATTTTTCGACTACATTTTGGACGCTCGGTCAGCTCAGCTCAGCTCAGCTCAGCTCAGCTTGTGCGATTGGCTTGATGCATGCGCTAATTTGGCATTTAATTCGGCAACTGGCAATATAATACAATATATATAGTTGTGTACGGACCATTTTGCATATGAATAATGCTACATGCATATGTGAACGTCGCTGTGCTAGCTCATTATACACCATATGTATGTTGATGAGATATTGTTGTATAAGACATAATCGCTACTGGTCAATACTAACCCAATGGCGCCGTTGTAATTAAATGGGGAAGAAAGTCTGTTGCACGTTTTTATTCCCCATGTGCATGTTACATACGCCATCATCTCACGTTGATTAGTTGTTAATTGATGATGTGTAAATATAAAACCGAAGACTAGATAAGGGTCTTGCAAGTTGCTACTGCTTCCTATATTCGATAGTACTATGTACGCACATATTTTTCATGTTGGAGCGAGCAGGTTCGAGCTATTCTAGAATCAACACGTACGCAAAAGCTATTCACACGTCTAGAAGAACTTTACTTATATATGGATTTTTTTTCTCCATTGCTAAATAAGGTAACCGTACCTCTAGGAAGCGCCGTTAGAACTGATGGCATAATTTTCGTACCTTCTTTTTAAAACCTTTCTAATTATGAAACTAAACCATGTCGAAACTTTTCGAAACCTTCTGGCTACGCCACCATGTCCGGCGTAGCAAAATAACGCCGACAGACCATGCACACGGCATGTTGCCAACGCTATTTTATCACGCCAATCTCATTGCCATGGTGAAGTCACACCGGTATGCTCACAGAGGGATTCGAGTGACAGTGTGTTGTTTCGTGATTCCAATCTGATTTGATCACACAACCAAAAGCTTTTTTTTTAAACTAGTGACCAAAAGGTTGAGTATGTGTTAGCTACTTCCTCCATATCACAATATAGTAACCAAGAATCAAATATGATATATTATAGTATTACGAATATGAACTGAGAGATCTATTCAGATTTTTAATATTATGATATGCTTCATTCGATTTTAAGTTTCTATATTTTATAAGGTATCTAGAGAAACCTGCTCGGAACATGACAATCGTATCCAAGGAAAGTCATCCTTGCTAGGAGCTAGTCTGTACAGGCTTACTACTAAGGAAGTTTCTAGCATGCTTCTACTTGACCCTCGCCGTGTTTAGTTCCAAAGTTATTCTTTAAACTTCCAACTTTTCATTACATTAAAACTTTTCTACACACAACTTCTAACTTTTCTATTACATCGTTTCAATTTCAACCAAGCTTTTAATTTTGACATGAACTAAACACAACCCCTAAACACAACCCCTGTTATATATCCTATAATAGAATGAAGTAATTAATTCGCCTATAGTGTGCTAGCAACTCCAGCTAGGTCGCCTATATATACAAGGCACGAAGGAGGCATATACACTGGCACCACTCCCCCCCTTAATTTCAGACAACACACACAGACGTATAGTAGTTATCCGTTCGACACCTGCAACGATGACGAAGACGAAGAAGTCCAACAACGACAGTACGATCCTGGTGATCGGCGGCACGGGGATCATCGGGCGGCACATCGTCGCGGCGAGCCTCGACGCCGGCCACCCGACGCTCGTGCTCGTCCGCCCGACGGCCGCATCCGCCGCCGTCGACGTCGACTCCGACAAGGCGAAGCTCCTGGCCTCCCTCGTCGCCAGCGGAGCCACCATCGTCTACGTAACTAGAAATTTAGCTGAAGTTTCTCTACATGAACAACCTGCAGCTAGCTAGCTTAGGTAGCTAGCTGCGTTCCAGAGTTAATTAGTCGATTTATGGATAAAATGTATGCGCATGCAGGGCGACATGAACGACCGCGAGAGCTTGGTGGCGGCGATCAGGCAGGCGGACGTGGTGATCTCCGCCGTCGGCCACCGTGGGACGGTGGAGCTGGACGGCCAGCTTAAGGTCGTCGAGGCGATCAAGGAGGCCGGAAATGTCAAGGTATAAATAAAGTGGAGTAATTAATGGGTAATTCTGATGACTCACACGAAGAGAATAGTCCATGCATGGACTCAATCGAGCACAAAATTAGTACTCCCTCCTATATGGCCATATGGCCTGAGGCCCATGGCCCGGCCCAAGCACGGCGCTGCCCGACTCGGAACTCGGGTTCGTGCCCGACTCAGAACTCGAGGTCGTGCCCGTGCCGGCCCGTGCCTCGGCAGCACCCTCGGCACGGTGGGCGGCTCGACACAGCACAACCGAATAAAAAAGTCGAGGGATACAAAATAGACTTAGTGAACCATATCAGGCAGGGCCCAAATAGATGAGGAGTACAAAATAGACTTATTTTCCAGCCATATTGACCAAGCCCACAGAATTGAGGGATGTAAAGTAGACTTATTTTGTAGAAAAGCACGGTGGGCCGTCGTGCCTTCGGGGCAGCCCGGCACAGCCCGAGTCATGTTGGGCCATGCCTGGCTGTGTGTGCGGCCTGTAGGCTAGCACGGCACGGCTCGGAGTGTAGGTCGGGCCGTGGCGGCCCAACTAACCTCGGCCTAGGCACGGCGGGCCTGGGCCATGCGGCCCGTTTAGCCATCTATACTCCCTGCATCCCAAAATATAGGGCATACTGTTTTAGACATGGAGACCAAGGATGCGTACCTGTCTTGCCCGTCCCAACACGTGACGCTTCATTTCACGCGCGCCCTTGGCCTTCATAGCGCATAGCACATCCCACGTCCTATTTTCGCACGCGTAAAACGTACTCTGTCTAAAAAATGTCAAACCCTAGGTTTAAATCTGGACATATTTTTTATAGGACAGGGTAATACACACTATGATCTATTAAAAGAAACATAAAAAAGAATAAATTGAGAGCTACAGGGCATGGTCGTCCATAAGCTATAAAAGCAATTGCACTATATTCATCAACATATTAACTAATAACATTGTGAATGGAAACGGCTGACACAGCATGTAGCTTGTAGCACCTAAGATGCCTCCAACGACGGGTTGCCTACTAATATATGACTCTAAGACAATGGGTTTTCAAGAGATTGACATTTCCATTGGTTGAACCATTTGCCGCAACAACGAGAGAATGCTCCACGTGAATTATTTTTCAACGGTCACATGGCTGAATTACTCCTCCGTCGTCGGACGTGTATTTGGAAATTAAACATCTCTCCAACTTCCCGTATAAAATCCTTAAATATCTCAATTAATTTGGAAGTGGATTTTAATCTCTCAAGTGATATCCCTCGTTATTTGCATGTCACTCAAATGGTTATAAAAAAATTAAAAAGATGTAATAATATGTGATATATCACTCCACAAACATACAAGTAAAAATTCAACTTCTACTCCCTCCGTCCCAAAAAAAAGACAACCTAAGAGGGGATGTCCAAATTCATTATACTAGGAAAGGGTCACATCTCCTCATAGGTTATCTTTTTTTGGACGGAGTACATCTAGCAACGAAAAAAAATTGACTCTAAATATACGTTAACTAGCTGCGGTTTAATTTGTTTTTTTCGCTACGAGATGTAGAAGTTGAATTTGGACTTGCATGTTTGTGGAGTGTTATATCGCATGTTAATATACTTGCTCAATTTTTTTTCATAACCATTTGAGTGAAATGCAAATAACGAGGGATATCCCCTCGAAGGATTAAAATAGTTACCCCAATTAATTTGGCAATTACATATGTACACTAGTTCCACATTAAAAACACAAACTAAAAACAGTCAGGTATTTCTTCATATCACATCTGGTAGCATGCAGGTCCATCGGAAGGAGCATATATATATCATCGCAACCGCGCATTTGAAACAAATTTAATCGAGATTATGTCTATATATATGCAGCGATTCGTGCCGTCGGAGTACGGATGCGACGTGGAGCAGGCGGAGGAGGGGACGCTGGAGCCGGCGAGGAGCATCATCGCCGCCAAGGTCCGCGTCCGCGAGGCCGTCAGAGCCGCCGGGATCCCCTACACCTTCGTCTGCAGCTACTGGGCCCACGGCTTCATGCTCCCCCGCCTCGGCGACCCCCTCGTCGACCGCCCTCCGGCCACCGTCGCCACCGTCTACGGCGACGACACCCAGCGAGGTTAATTAATCGATCGCGAGATCATCTGCAGTATAGCTGCCATATATATATATATATATATATATATATATATATATATATATATATATAGGACACTCATATGGGGCACCATGGTGCCCGGGCACCATGGTATCAAATACACAAAATCACTCAAATTTTTCAAAATTTTCAAATTGTGAGTATATACCTAGTTATAATAACTCGATTCATACCTATACCTATCAACAAAACAACTCAAATTTAACTTTATTTCACAATCCATGATTACATACCTAACTAATTATATGTATGGATGCTATATACCTAGAATCAAAATCTAACAAAAACAAGTTCAAATTCAGTTCAAACTTGCTTTGAACTAGTTAGTAAAGTAGCTAATGTTAATATCTAAGTAATTGAAAAAGGTTCATACTCATTTGAATTAGGTATATACTCAATTTCAACAATGGTGCCCGGGCACCATGGAGCACCAAACAAATTTACTATATATATATATATATATATATATTTCTCACATTGAACTGATCGTAACACTGGTGGAGAAGGGGTTTTTACTCCCGGTTCGTAACCCCCATGTAGTCCCGGTTTTCCAACCGGGACTATAAATCCGGGACTAAAGATCGCTATTTTTAGACCCGGGTGAAAAAACCGGGAGAAAAAATCCATTTTTAGTCCCGGTTGGTGTACAACCGGGACTAAAAAGACTAGATCCGGTTGCTCTTTATTATTTTCTTTTCTTCATTGTTTTTAATATATATTGATTTCACCCCATCCCGTCCCCAAAATTCCAAATCAATCATCCTCAAATTGCCTCCAAATCCACAATCGATCATCTCAAATACTCAAATACATCACAAAATCTCAAAAAAAAATTACATCAAGCACAACAAAATACATCCACAATACATCCACATCCACAATCCACAAATCAATCACAATCCACAAATTAATCACAAAATCATCCCTAAATCAACCAACAAAATGCTCCACCAAATTATACAAATCATTCAAAAAAATTCGCAGTCGCTGCCACCCGGCCGTGGGCCGCCGGCCGCCTTGCACCCGATCGCCGCGCGGGTCACCGCTGCCCGACCGCCACCCACCGCCTTGCGCCCGGCCACCACCGCCTGCCGCCTTGCTGCCAGCCCTCCGCTCTGGCCTCCGCCGCCGCCGCCGGGGATGGCCCTCTATGCGCGACGGCCGCCGCCCTCCGCCACCGCCGCCCGGCCGCCTCCCCTCCCGGATCCGACGGAGGGGAGGCCGCCGCCGCCGCCCGGCCGCCTCCCGCCGCCGGAGGGGAGCCGGAGGGGAGGGGAGGGGAGGGGGGAGAGAATGAGGGGGAGGAGAGGGTTGAGAGGAGAGGAGGAGAAGGAGAAGTGAGAAAGAGGAGGAGGAGAAGTGGGAAGGAGAAGGGATAAGATAGGGCGGGGAGGACGAGGTGCTGCTGGCCGGTGGCGCATGGTGATCTTTACTCCCGGTTAGTGTTATCAACCGGGACTAAAAATACATCTTTAGTCCCGGTTGGTAACTCCAACCGGGAGTAAAGCTTATGTTGATCTTTTTTCCCGGTTGGTAACACCAACCGGGACTACAAATAGATCTTTAGTCCCGGTTGGTAACATCAACCGGTACTAAAGATGAAAAAGTACCCTTGATCTTTTAAATCGGGACTAAAGATGTTTTTAGTCCCGGTTTTTAATACAACCGGGACTATTGTGAAATCTGGTCGACCGACCAAAGATGGTTTCTCCACCAGTGTAATTAATATATATTGATTTTGTTTGTTGCATATATACTGCAGCCATCTTCGTGGACGAGAAGGACATGAGCGCGGTGGCGATAAAGGCGATGGAGGACGAGAGGGCGGCGAACAAGATCCTGTACGTGCGGCCGCCGGCGAACAAGCTGTCGCTGGGCCAGCTCGTCCGTCTCTGGGAGAAGAAGTCCGGCAACACCCTCCAGAAACGCTACGTCTCCGACCTGCAGCTTGCCAACCAAGTCCAAGGTAAATTATAGTTAGCTATAGCTAGCTGAAGTGTACTAGTATTTTCGTCAGCTGCTCGATCAATATGCAACTAAGCATATACTCCCTCCATTTCAAAATATTTGACACCGTTGACTTTTTAGCACGTGTTTAACCATTTGTCTTATTCAAAAAATTTAAGTAATTATTTATTCCTTTTATATCATCTGATTCATTGTTAAATATACTTTCATGTACATATATAGTTTTATATATTTCACAAATTTTTTTAATAAGACGAATGGTCAAACACGTGCTAAAAAGTCAACGGTGTCAAACATTTTAAAACGGAGGGAGTATTATATTGAAAACTGAATTGTGTTGTGTCGTTTGGCATATGCAGAGGCACCGTTCCCGGTGAACTTTCAGCTGGCGATGGTGCACTCGACGCTGGTGGCCGGGGTGTGCGAGCAGACGATCAACCCGGACGTCGGAGCGGAGGCGACGGAGCTGTACCCGGAGATGGACTTCCTCACCGTCGACAGCTACCTCGACGCCCTCCTCTTGCATGCATGAAGAACTACGTAGTACAGTACGTACCATGCATGTGCAGGGTGTTGGTGTTTTTAGTTGCGCTATATGTGCCATCGCCATCATCACCAGCTAATATATGTATAATACACGTACCAGCATGCAGGGTTTACTCGTACGTACCATAGCAATGTTGTATGTACTACGTACGCATAATGCGCATGGGTGGCACGTCGCATCAGCCTTAATTAAATGGATTTGGTAAATCACAATCGAAAAAATTGCGACCGAAGTCTTATAATAAATTAATTTCTGGCCTTAATCACATTCGATGGCGGGGGGCGATGGTGACGTCTCCAAGGAGCCGTTGGAGACGAGGAAGACGACGGGATCGGTGGGGAGTGAATATCAGCAAAAACTATGTTTAGATTCTAATATTTTTCTTCAAACTTTTAATTTTTTCGTCATATTGAACTTTCCTACACACACAAACTTTAACTTTTTCGTCACATCGTTCTAATTTCTTTAAACTTCTAATTTTGACGTGTAACTAAACACAGTCAAAGCCTGAATGTATAGACACGAGCATGACGATAACAGTGTGGGGACAAGCTATTCCATCCCTCGAGTGTATCAATTGAAATGAGAAGAGACGGAGAAGAGAGGATAATGTACAAGCATTTTAATTAGTACATGAATTTCAGAGTGAATCCAAATCGTGACTGAGATAAGAGGGTTTTTTTTGTTAAGTGTGATATAGCAGTCCCTTACTTAAAATGGTTTGCCATGCTTGGTAAAAAAATTGGCTTCAATCAACGCGCGCTGGACTAGTATGTACATTTACCTATCACCCTAGCTGCAGGAAGTAAGTAGTTACTCATGGTTAAAAAAAAGTGATCCAAGTTTCATGCCCGTGAAAAGAACTCCTGATTAGTTAATTGAAACATGTAGGAGTACTGCATTCTGCAATTACGACCGTACGTAGTCCTTTCCTTAATTAAGACCGAACGCTTAAATTGAATATATTAACACAGGAAACATGTGTGTTGAACATGGTTTAATTTCAAGGTCACTCATGTGGTGGTTAATTAATTACTGGCTACTTGGCCTTTCTTGCCCAGCCAAACCGGCCGGAATCAGTCGATCTGTTGCCGGTTTGCAGCAGTGCAGCGGCATGCATGGCGTAGGTCGGTTGGTGTTAGTACCGGCCTGTATATATAAGAACGACGAGAACATTACAATAGTTCAGTGGCGTGCAGCTTGCATTGGATCTCTGGGCCTCATGATCAGCCAAATTCAATTCAGCCAAAGAAAAACTATTGTTTAGCTTATTTTTGCTTATATGGCTAGTGAAGGATTTTCTATGGCTAGTGGTATTGGGATTTTTATTTTCTGTGTATGGTCACTAGAGAGTTCACATAATTAGCCACGACTGATAATCCAACTCCCTTGCGGGTCCCACTTGTTTGGCTGAAAAGCCTCAGCCCAAGCCTCAGCCAAACAAGCCATCCGATGAGACCCTCTGATTTCGACTGAATAGAAGACGATGGCCGGCCAGTGATTCGCCATGTGCGAGCAACAGGACGAAATTGGCATTCTGTCATCGGGGGAAAGGAGTTTCGCTAAAATACCATTTTGGATTTAGAGAGTGGATAAAATGTTACTCTTGAATCGAGCCAACACGCTCTAATAGTATTTCTTTCATTTCTTCTCATGTAAATGATTTTTTCCCCTATTTTCTTTGGTGAAGCTGCCCAAAATACCCCTCTCTTCCTCTTTAGTTCCCCATTTCCCTCTTGTTGATGAGACACTGGAGAAGTATAGCGACCCCATGACTTAGGAATGGTTCGTCGACGACATCTGCAAATGATTCTACCACTCGGCATGCAAGCCTCATGTGAGGCTTTTTATTTGGGACAGAGAGTTTAATTAAGTGGGTAACAAACTGCATTAATTAATATAAACAAATTAGTAGGGTTAATTTGATGGTACAAATAAACATATTTATTAGCACTAAAAGTTTTCAAGATTTGTTAAAAAAGAGAGCCTCTAATATCCTCGTCCTCGGAAAAGAAAAACCGGATTTAATAGGAAAAAAAATAGAAAATAACCAAAAAAAAACACCCAAAATGCAGAGATTAATAGAGAGGCCCATCAGAGTATGAACCCTTCGCTTGCCGGCGGCCCATCTAAAAGGCTAGCCTAAAAGCCGCACCAACCACTTCTCTCAGCCCATGTGGACCTCGTACGGCCCACCTCAACCCACAAGGCAACCTGTGCGAGCACGTTGTGCTCCCCTCGCCGTCGCGGCGGCGGCGGCGGCAGTGGGGAAGCGAAGCGAGACGGGCGGCGCTAGAGGCGGTAGGGTGGAGGAGTCGCCCACGAGTAGATGGGGCGGCGCGTCATGAACGCCGCGCTGCGCGCGACGGTGAACGCGGGAAGGCGGCGGCGCGCGCTCCCCTACGGCCCATCTCCGCCGTCACGGTCTCCTTCCTCAACATCATCAAGCACCGAGGTGCGTGCTACTCCCCGTTTCCGGCATTCCCCACAAAAAGAAAAAAAACAGAGAGAGAGAGAGTAGGATTTCATTCATGTGGTGGGGAGGAATCTCAAGTTTGTTGGTGGTGCGATTTACGAGTCCTAATCCCACCAATTATAGCGTATGATTCGATTAATTGTGGTGGATATGCTTGGGTTTTAGTGAGAGAGACGAAGCAATCTCCTCATGTTAAGACCGATTTGTTTGGATTAGGGGCCACCTCATGCAAGCATTTCGGTCCAGAGTATGTGAGATCTTTCGGTATCTAAGCTAGGCTTTGATAAATTGGCTTACTATGCCTTACATTTGCCCCTATATGGACGAAATGTTTGTTGGTTAGTGTCGTGTGAAATTGTGAGTTGGAAAATGAAGGCAAGTATACATATTCATAAGATGTTAGATTTTTTTATCGGTTGCTTTGCCAAGCTGATTCTTAGCCTTTGCTATATCCTCCAATCTTTTTTAGTGTGCTTGAGGCTCTTTGAGCATGTACTCATTTCATCTGACGACAAGTTAAGAGTGTTTGACACCAGACTTAAGATTCAAATGTCGATGTTATGCACCATAATTATAAACGGATAACAAACCCATGGAAAAAAAAGTGATACTTGGAATATTGCCTTGTCTGTTTCTCCTTTTATTTTGGCTTCTCCATGCAAAAAAGTACAGAAAATGCTATGATATTGCTCAGCGTCCTTTGTTTAGCCAACATCTGTTATCTGCCTAGTTATTCCTGACATTTAGAGTTTCAATGTTTTGCAGGGTTCATAAAGTAATTTGAGGTCGTTGATCCCCATAGAGTTGGAAAAAATCAATGTAGAGCTTCATGGAAGGATTAAAGATTGTAAGGCTCTTACATTTAGGCAGGATATTAGAGTTAAGGAAATAGAACAATACATAATTTATAATTTGGATGCTTCCAACATGGTAGGTATTCCATCTCAATTTTTACCGCTAACATATTCAGTCAGTTGTTGATGAAGATCCAATAAGTTCTTGATTTGAATGCTACTCTGTACATATTGTATGCACTCTCTTGTTGAAAGTAATGGAAAATATTCAATATCAACTGTGTAAATTATGTTTAGGAGGAACTAAATGTTTGACTAGATAAGGCAGTAGCCTAAAAATGTCTTAGTCCGTTAGAGAACTTTAATAGTAGTAGTTGATATTTCTAATTACCATAATTTTATTGCACCTTCTTTGTTGCAATTGTTTTTCTGAGGCAGCAGACTCTTTTAACATGTTAGCACAAAATATTTTGAGAAGTTGAATCAGTAAAATATGAATGATAACAAAAATGATAAGTAACATTATTGGTCCAGTGTCCCTGATGCAAATGGCCTTTAGGAAAGAATAACGAATGATGGGATACATAGACCATGGGTTATGCTTTTGGGTGATAAGCCACTTTGTATAAATTGATTTCTCGTAAAAATGTGGATTTCCCACTTACATTTATGACATGAACTGATGAGTGGGCAATACATACATTTTCAGGGAAAATATATTATGCAGCTAATAGGTGTTACCTAGTGTGTATGTGATAATGTGATTGACTTGTCGTTACTCAATTCAGATCTACTTTTGCAATATGCTAGCTCCAAGTTTAGATATCAATTTAATGCTCTACTCTCTCAGTTTACATAGTGTGGTATTGCTTAGTTGCTTACACGATTCCCTATTTCTTATGCAGTGGGGTTATGTCGTGATCACAACTCCAAATGGTGTTCTAGACCATGAGGAAGGACCACTCCTTGGTTATTTTCATTGAGAAGGACCACTGTTTCCCTATCTTGTTATGGCTGGCCTTGTCATCATGTGTGTTGTCATTGAACTCATTTTGTTTGCACTTTGAGTGATGTTGCTTCTGTTCATGGCTGACAGGAAATGCAATAACGCATAAAAGATACATCTCAAAAGCACTAAGGCATCGTTCGTTTAGGGGTGATAGGGGAGATTGGCTCTCGTTTTCCGCGCGCACGCTTTTCAAACTACTAAACGGTGCGTTTTTTGCAAAAAATTTCTATATGAAAGTTGCTTTAAAAAATCATATTAATCCATTTTTAAAATTTAAAATAGTTAATACTCAATTAATCATGAGCTAATGGCTCACCTCGTTTTGCGTATCTTTCCAATCTCCTCAATCCCCTTCTCCTCAAACACTCCCTAAGAAATGCCAATGTTAAGGAAAAAGATTGTGTAATCCTTTGTTGTGACTGTTCTTTCTGTAGGCTTAATATGACAATTGAATCTAGGTATTTGGAGATATATGAGTTGCTATTCTCCTTATCGGAGCAGCTATGGTCTTCTAGAGTACGACGGTTTGTACCTGAAATTTTGCCTGTACTAAATGTTAAAATCTTCTTTTTCTGAAATCGTTGTGTTGTTTTTTATTTAGCATATGTGAAAGATTGGGCTGACATATCCTGAGATTGACGAAGTCACCACGGGCGTCTCGCTATCAACGGGTATGTCGCCTATCACTGAAAGAAGTTAGCCATAAATGCGAGCACCGGTGTTAAGTCTAGGACATGAATTCTAGTGGGCTAGTTCCGCCACAAAAGAACTAGCCAGTTGAGGCACACTCATTTTACGCTAGACTGTGCGAGTAAAACTCATGGTGACTGTGTGAAAATTCTTCGTGTAGGCTGTATTTAGATTCCAACTCTTTTCTTCAAACTTCCAACTTTTCCGTCACATCAAATGTTTGGACACGTGTATGGAGCATCAAATGTGGACAAAAAGAAAAAACTAATTGCACAGTCTGACTGTAAATCGCG